AGAGGGGAGATTTCCCTTCAAATAAATACCATACGCATCCATCCGTCCTTTTTTGTCTCGGAGGGTACCACCACGCACTCGGCGTAACAACCAGCGGAGAAGGATCTGGCCAAGATGTGGATTTGAGTAGATGTTGCATTCAGAGGATGAAATGGTTTAAGAACGGGATAAGAATTTGAGAAGACGCGTAACCTGTGCACCCACTAAACTACATGTATTCATGCTACAACCTCCTTCAACTAGTAACAATGCTTGGTTGGTTAGTTGATGGGTGGGTGGATGGATGGATGAGGAAATCCTTATCCCTGTTTTGTTTAGCTCTATAAACACGTCTTACAAGGGCCTGAATCTGAATGAGATATTTATACTTTGAATTACTCGGTTCAAGTTTGAAAGAAGTGGAAGCAACTCGCAAATTTTTCCCTCGAGTCATTTTCGTCCGCAGCAAACCGAATTCAAATTCTAAACCTCAAGCCGAGTGGGGATGAGGGGAGTTGTGTGTGGTGTGTGGTATGTGGATTTCAGAGTTTCGACGAGAGAATGCGGTAAATTGTTTCTGAGAGATTGCAAAAACTTGAGTGTTGAAACCAAGTTCATTTCTACGTACATATATTGAAAACAGCGTAATATGCGGGGAGAAAGTAAGTAAATTTACATGAGGATGTAAATAAATAGGGCAACTTTACTGCGTAAGGTTGTGGTGGTGGTGAAAGCAGGCAGAAGAATGGACCACTATTTATGAGGATGCTATTATTGAATAATGCAAAATAAGTATGTATCCAATTCTAATAATAAGTACTCGTCGAAATGTGGCAATTGCATGAATTTCATTATCTCATTCCAGCTCTAATCTCTTTCATCTAGTTAATATTCTGACAATGAACCCATTTCCAATTTGAGTCTTGTCAACCCAACTTGTGCCTGGAGACCAAACCGCGTTGATCTCTCTCTCTCTCTCTCTCTCTTCTGCACACCTGGAATGTATATTCCACAGTTAGAAGAGCAGCATAATCGCCAACACAACTTTGCTAAATTGCGACAATCTGCACATTCAACTGTTCCACCACAATCATGACCACAATTCTGACACTGCATCGCACCGACGACGACGAAGCCATTATCCAAAGCCGACTTCCTCAATTCAGTCCTACTGGTGGCGAATCAAAGAGAGTAAAGTTAATACTCAGCGGAATAGAGTGCAAGTTAGTGTACTTTTACGTGGAACCAGGACCAAGTTGTTGCGGAAGAAGTCCTACTGTTGAAATGGAAATGGAAAAGCCCACAAGAAAATACACAAGTCCTACGGCTCCTTTGGCTGATACGCTACATAAGAATATTGTCGTACGTCTTGAAGTATATATCAGTTCCGGAACTGCGATGATTGTTGGTGGTGTCGAACGGGAACAAAATATAAATTTCCAAAAGTGCATTACAATGCACACACACAATGCATCTGATCGTACACCGCTTGTGACCGGGCGTGGCAGTGGGAACATAAGGCACGGGTAATTCTTGGATGTGCTAAAGAGAAGAAGCAAGAAGGACAAATGGGATATAAAACTAAAGCCTGCAGCAGACTTTCTCCAAACTTGCTCCCCCAATCGGTGGGTGGTGGTGTGGTTCCGTAGATAGTATTACCTTGCTTATTATGACTTTCACTTTTTTAAGTCTTTCATATTCAATGCACTTGGCTTTTCACGACCATCGAACAGCAAACCGTTGACCATTTCAACTCAAGGTCTCTCTACGGATCATTTCCAATTCTTGAGAAAGCGTTTCCAACCCGTTTCTCTTCCTCCCTTCATTGATCATCATCATTCGTTGGCATCCATATCGGGAGCATGCTATGTATTCGCCTTGTTTCACAGCTCTCACTGCAAAGTTTTTCATCACACGGAGCAGCGCTAATGGAGAAAATCCATGAAATTTCGGAAGGGGAGGAAAATTTTGATTTTGCTTTGAAATATACCATCCGCTTCTTGTTGGTGCTGCCTATACCATCATCATAAATATGAAACGGAACTGCTTGTTGGACTCTCGCACAAACATCTTATTCAGTTATTTTCTCCTTTCAAATCAAATTAGTGAGACCACCACCATGATCACGATGTCGCTCCCTGAGACCAGCGTCAGGGTAGAAATAAACTTTGTCCCTCTTTGAATTTAATGCACTTGTTTCCTGATGTCCCTCATTCTCTCGCTCCCTATTCGATATATTTCACTTGTAATTTACTCGACAATGGAATTTTGGGGTAATGCAGTATTGAACTTGTTTTCTTATGAAAATGGTGAAGCTATGGACGCTCGCAGTGGCGACTGGGCAGCTTATTTGTATGTACATAGTAGTACATATACGAATGGTAGTGCAGATCACAAAGACCAGCAGCAGCAGATGCGTTGTCTCTCACCTCAGAGGACTGAGGAGAGATGGGCTTTGTCCTTGTGCATTCTGAGCTAAACTAATAGCAGAGGAGTGACATACGAAGAGAAATTCCATTATTTTCCGCAGAACGCCATAACGCAGCAAGAAGAAGAGTAATGTTACACTTGGGAAGGCTATCGCATCTTGTTTGTTACTCAGAGAGGTGACTTATGTACGCGTACAATGAGAGAATATATATTACATCACCTTTTGAGTAAGCTTCACCCTTCAGATGTAAATAGTTATGTGTAAATGCAGTGTATAAATTCGTAGACACACATGCCGTTACCTTCTTGTCCAAGGAACAAGTTTCTGACTCTAACCTTCTTGATGGGATGTAAAATATATTCCCGAAGAAGCAACAACATGACAATATTGCACCAAGGGTTGGAGCACTTATCCTTGTGTTTTATGATGCCATCACATTTCAACAAACAATGTGAGAACAGTGCAGAACCCCCATTTTCAGCTCGCTCTACTTCAGCACCAGCTACACGAGCATTGCACAATACAACACCGGCTGCGACAAATCACACTTTTCTGATCTCCGAGCGGAACCCCTGGTTTTCTCCATGTTTGCTTTGTCTACTGAAATTCAAAATGTCGCATGTATCTGTAGGTAGGTGGGCGACGGAGGTAAATCTTCTAACATTTGCACGTTTACACTGTTTCAGGCAGGAGTTAGGGGTCCATAATCTGTATTTTGCCTTTCAACAAAAGGGTAATTAGTTCGGATTATTAAAGTGAATATCGACCTAATATTATTATACAGCAATTTTGGGATTTGTTTTCTGACTTTCGTTATTAATAAGAAAAGGCAACTTCTGGACCATTGTGTGGAAACGAGGCGAAACTCGTTGAGAGCATAATTATAAAAAAGTACAGTGTGCCATGTTTATACCTACTTTTAATATCCTAGAGCAATTTAGCACGCGTGTTGGTTTCGCATGTATTTATTAGTAGAACAAAGTATCCGCATATGCAAGTGTTTATAAGGGAGGAAGATTGCATTGGCGGAGACGCGGGTTTGCAACAATATTATTATATACAACAAGGAGAAAATATAGTGGTTTCGGTTACGACTAAAACAAATTAAAACGGATGATGATGACTCGGATTTGGTTGGCGAAGAGAGTTTGGAATTTCTCATTTTGATACTCGCATCAAGTCGTTTCTCCTAATTGTGGAAATGGGAAATAGAAGGATGCCTTTCCAGATATTGCTGATGATATGTATGAGTGAACGACAAACCTTCCAAAACTACTCACTCAACTACAAACTATTCAACCAACAACGGCCAAACAGTTGAAATGCCTGCAATATGTATGTCTTCTGTAAATGCGGATTATAAATTACCTTGAACCTAATAAGCTACTCCGTTTTTAGCAACCTTTTCAATTCCAGATTGCCCATGAAAAGTTGCTGGAGGAGCATCACTCCACATAAAATAAATTCGTAGTTGAATCGGCATTGTGTAGAAAAGTTTATGTATCTATCTATTCATTTCATAAGTTCATGCATGCGCTATATTGTTGACATTTTGAAAAGACGCAGTGTCGAATGACGAGAGAGCTAATGATGGGCAATTAGTCGAGTTGTGATGACTGATCGTGAGGACAAAGACTGATTACGTTATAATTTGCTTCTTTTTTACTTGCAAAATATACATCTCTACACACTGTTTGTACTCAGCTTACTCATGTATGTAAAAAATAAAATGTCGGTAAGTTGGTAACGCTACACTCCCATACGTAATAAACAAATCTGTTGAGCACCGTATTGCGACTCTCATCAGTGCTTCCTAAAATCCCAACAACAATGCATCATACATAGTGCTGTAACTCAAGGTATGCACATATAGCAGTGCGCCTATGATCTGACGGTTACTTTTTCACTGGAAGAGTGACAAATAGAACAGGTCACACTTGTGTACCTTCAATTCTTCTTGAAATCTGCCCAACTTTAGATCAACCAAGCGAAAAATCAATTTCGCAATGACTCCTTCACGCTTGGTGCGACAGAGTGTCATTTGTGGTGGTATATTGGCGTACCCAATGGGGAAGGTCTACGGCTGAGCGATAAAAAAGGAGGGAATGATGCTGAAGATGAGTCATTTTATCCAGGATCACAAGACGGTTTACAGAAATATAAACTTGTTAGGCATTTACTTTTATTACGGCGAGTCATGGTTTATTCTCGCAAGTTTCTCACTCTCAGAAAGAAGTGAGTCAGGTCTGTCGAGTGGCTGAACTATTTAGTTGTAGGAGAGGAATGCCTTTTAAGAATGATTATTGGGAACAAAAACCAAGGAACGCTGTAGACTCAGCAGCAGAGATGTAATGGAACGAAATGAAATCCTGAGAAAATGCGATAGTTCCGCCGACTTCTCCTCTCCTACCATTTGCACAGATACCAACAAGACCAACCAACTCTTGGTTCCATTCAATGGATGAACGCATTTTTTCCCCACTTCTGGATGTACGTATTTTTTTGCGCATGGTTTACCATCAAGGATTCCCTACACCTCTTATCCATGCTTTTTGCCATTTAATTCTATTTATCTTTGGCTTTTACTTACCTTAGTACTTTTCAAGATTTCATGGTTTCGCCATAAGAGCCTGTTTATGTGAGCCTCCAATTCATTTCATTGCAATCCACTCATTATCCTTGTCCCATAATAAATGCATACGCAAACAACTTGGCACTTTTACTTGGATTTCACTATGAATTTATACTACTATGTCATTGCAAAATTAAATCTGCATTAAACTGCACATATGTATTTGTCAACGCCAACACATAAGATTAATTTTAAATTTTCAAGTAGTTTGTAGAGTACACTTATTCAAGTGGCTTACACAAATTCGCCAATTTCAGCATGGTTGGTCAATTTGAAGCTTAGTTAGATTTGATTAATGCGATCGTGATCGTGAACATGACACAATGGGATCTACCACGTATGGAACAAACCTATGTAGCTGGCTTAACGAATAATGCGAAATTTGCAAATCATAAGAATACGAGGGCTATATCTGGTGATATACGTATATTAAATATTATGCACACACGGATTTAACGAGGGCGAAAAAATATCAAAGCAGCGATTCGAGCTGGAACAAGATGCGAAATAACCCTTCTTCTGGTCTCTTCCACTGTCCAATCCAACCTATGCAAATTTGCGGCTCGTAATTGTATTCACATAGCTTGTTCCCAACAATGGAACACTTGGTAGGCGAGTGAGTGTGGTTGGATGAAGTAGTTGATGCTATCGCAGCAACAGTTGAACTGACAGGTAAAATCTTTCGTAGGCGAGCTAACTTGTTTCGAAGCTAGCTGGGGCTGCATAATAGTAATTCACATCACATCTGACAGTTTCCACTAACTAAAGCGTTTTCCCAGCACTAGTCGATGCAGGTAGGTGAGCAATGTTAACGCCGTATACATACATAGCTTGTCGAAACACCTATTAGGAACCATCCCCTGCCAACAATGAGCGATTTAAGTTGGCACACATGGTATATAAATTTTCCTTGCATTACAGAACAGATCTGACAATAATTTCCTGTCAATCCCCGTAGTTTAACAGTGTTGTAGTGATGCATTATTGTATTAATTGCTACCTTTTAGTGAAAATTATGGATTGCAAAAAAAATCTTCATGACTGTTCGAGTCATAAAGTCTTTTCTTGTAAATGTGCAAAAATTAAGAAGGATAGAGCTCATGGACTTAATTCAACCTGACCAAGTCATTAAAATGAATTTGTCATTGGTTGGCATACAAAAGTATAAATCTCATTCATAGAGTTATATAATATAAGTTCTCATTGCTAGTTAAAAATAATAATGCATGGACATTTATCCAGCTCTCATATTTTTCTGGCCCACTTTACAGTTCTGCTCATAAAAAAGAAGAATTGTTCTTGATTGCAATGTATGATGATGAGAATGACGATGTAATCATAGCTCCAGCCTACAATAACCTTGGCGTTTGGTCGGTTTTGCTTGCTTGGCCTGTGCTGCATAGGAATATTTAGCAAACAAACGAGTAATATTGGTGCACGGGGTCGGATTCGACATGCTTCAAGAATAAAACAAGTCTATGCAACAGTAGTGGGACCAGTTTGGGCAAAAAACAGAACACAGCACAACCGCAACCAGTTATGAAAATACTCGTACATATATATCCATGCCCATACCATACATAAAACCAGTAAATACTACGCTACTACAGATATGCAAATTTGACAATCCTATAATTTTTCATTTAGAGGAATCCACGATCGACCCAACCAGTTCCAGCCCAGTCCAGCAGAAATAATAAAATTGCATGGGTATGCTTATTATTCAACGAAGACAAGACTTGAAACAATTCTTTTACTTACTTATGAGATATCTAGTTGTCTCACCGACGGACTGGCATGAGTGGCACAGAATTGCATTAATTATAATTATAAGTGTATCTCCACCTTTTTTCTCTTATCCGGCAAAACCACCAAAGAAGAAATTCAGAATGTGCTTGTTATCAGACACCTGAGCAATATTTTATGAAATCTTTATCAGTTTCCGTCATCACAAACAATACGTCTTTACCAAAGTTGCTAGTTACAGGCTTGTGCGTACAGAATGGCTTGCTTGGTTGGACCCATGAAACACTCTTATAGATACATATTACATAATTTATATTCAAGTACCATAAACATGCATAGTTGCTGTTCTAATGGGAAAGTATTTAGTATAAGTACGAAAGCTAAAACATGTGCCGAGGGCTAAGCAAAAACTACCTGAGATTGAAATTGATGATAATAGCGTTCAACTCGTATAGCAATATTTGGTACACATTTCAGGTAAATGTAATTTGAGCGGGTAGAGAAATACTGACAATAAATCGATCCAGTTTCTCAGGCACGTGTATTGTATTTAAATATTGTTTCGGATCCATCACATTGCACATCTTGCTTCGTAAATCCCCCTGACGTAAAGATGAACCAACATCTAGGAACATGTATACATAACATACGAAAAGTTTCGTTTTTCCATAAAATTTGATTTTCCTTCATTTTCTCTTGAAACTAAAAGATAAGACTGGGCTTACTCATTGGGCATCTCGTGTGCGTATCTCCAAAAATCATGCACAACTAATCAGAGTTTGTGAAGATCAGGAATGTCGTGTTGCTTTTAAAATGCTTAGATTGGATAAAAGTTTGCCTCTCACTTGAAGTACTCTCCTCTCTCTCTCTCTCTCTCCTAAGTCGAACGGTAAAAAGAATGAAAAAAGTTCTCTAATTTTGCTTCACCTTGCTTTCCTAGATTAGTATCCCAGCTGGCTATACGGGCAGAAATTCCACCAAGCATTTCTCTACAAAACAGGAGATGAACAAAATGAGTGTAAGTTTTTAAAGTATTCCCAATCTGGGCTACTGCCTGCTTCACTGGATTTTGAAATACTCTCTGCAACAGAATGTGCAAAATTTGTAAAGTTCTCTTTCCGACGCGAAAATCCGTACGTATGTAGCCTATACACGCTAGCGAACTATGTACATATGTACTACCATAAGGTGTGGAGGGTTTCATATTCTTCTGCTAAAAACTGAAATATATTTATTACCTACTTTCCCAATGAACGAACGAACAAAACTTGTGTATACTCTGAGGAAAGGTGCTGCGAAAGCATTTTGAGATCAATTTTCCGTGTCAATTTTCCGTACTTCGCAAGTCAAGTTCATGTTTATTTTGTTGGGGTTTATGTTGCATGCACATACATGTGCACACATTCATACATAGTTAACCAGCAAAACCGCTTGTATCATACATGTTGTATGTAATAAACATTACGCCAAGGATAATAGCCTTGAATTTGAATATCTGATTTGATTACAGGATGGAATTGCCGATTGGGTGTGTCGTATTATTATTATTGAGGTCTCGACGTTATCAAATGCTTCCATCTTGGCACTGTAATGGATCATTATTAAATAATTTACTATTTCAAATAACATTCACATTCCAAGAGATATTTGAAAATGAACGTGAAAGGTCCGCGAACGATCCTTTGAGTATTGCTTACATACATATTTGAATGTGTATTTCTACTTCGCTATATCTGTGGTACTTTTGAAAGGCTTCTATAATTTGCATCGAACATCGAAAGTAATAATTTATTACGAATTCATTGCGAAGACAGAATACGGAGTTTTTAATTTCGAAAGTAGGATCACGATGAAGTAAACAAGCTTTCGTACGTCGTTTCATGTGTATTATTGTTTAAAAAATCATTCATTCGTGGATGAAAAATGAATAAAAAAAGTTGCCACAAATTGGATTTCTGAACTCCTCTGATGAGTAAGCCCAGTTGAGTTTGAAAATTATTTGTGGGAACATTAGGGACAAAAGCTTTTTTTAAAGAATGAGATTAAGCCCATTATGCGATACTACTGTTCTTAAAGCAGGCTCCCTCATTTTACAAATGAGTCAAGAAAGCTGGTGTCACTCTGATTTTTTTTTCGTTCGATTTGCAGTCTCATCATCTATAGCATGGATATTTTATTTTGCCAAGGCTGCAACTTGCCAGAGAGCTCTCAAAAGACAGTTGTGCACTGGAGCAACATTAAAAAACAGTGGTGCTTCTCTAATTTCAAAGTTGAGAGGAAGCCCGGAGCCAGTTTTAATTCAAAGAAATCGTGCCGTGAGTGAGAGTCGTGATGTCTTTGTCATCTCATCATCTCTTCCGAATTGTTGAACAGTGGAGGCTCATCATCATCCGTTCTAATAAATCTTTAATGACTTCATCCGCTACACATTCCCTGCTTGATCGTCCGCTGATTTAAATTGGTTTTCCTTACAACAAATGAGAGTCAAAATTCAGTGCTCGCAAAACTCTGAACATAATGAGGTATCGATATATGAAAATTAAATATATTTTATGCATAACTCCTTAGTTAAAATAAATACATGTTACTTATCGTAAATTCTTAACCACAGTCCAGTAGAACATCTAAAATCTAAGTTATAAATATCTACAGATTCCCATAATTTGTGTATATCTACTCAAGTTTTATTGCATTTAGCAAATCAAAATATTATTAGACAATGATGAATATATTATCTTTCCTGTAGAAACTATCAGTTAAACTATACCACTTTATCCAAGTCATAGATATGTACATAGTTTTTCATGGTCACACTAAATAAACCCTCCCACCTTGCTTTCACTAATAAGTACCTGCGCCGTTTCCGGTGGTACACATTCCTTTTTTTGCCCATTGGCTGATTAGGAATTGGAAGTAAGTAGGTTACAATTGCACAAAATACTTGTACAATTTTGAATTGGGATTCTTGGAATCAAAGTTTCATCAATGGAATTCATGAACGAAAGTGACAGCTATATCAAACAGAAGAAATGTGAAAGACGGTGCTGGCCAGGAACACTCACTGCATGGGGAACTCTTGAAATATCAGTAACTTTTCATAGGAATATGTCACGTATGTGCTAGAGTTAATAGTACTCATACTTTTACCAAAAGTCAAATAGGACAAGACAGCTTGATGCCAAAAACTTTTAAACTCTCAAATCTGACACTGCTCGAATATTTCATGTCGAGAGCAGCACTGAAAAAATTGACGCTATTTTGTGGCATGTGGATGTTTCAGTCAGATATGTACAATGCTAGTCGAGCCAAACTCCAAAGAAAGGTGAAAGTTTCTCGAGTTCCAGTTGACCCCCCTCCTCCTCCTCATACGTGTATATCCTTTTTCTTGTAAATATGTACACGTATTCGTGCAAGTATAAAGTACAATAATACATAAAGGCGAGCAGTCCAAAAGAATCATGAGCGTAATCATAAAAGTGAATACGAAATTGTAGTTCGTCAGAACCTAAATATATGGCTAAATAATATCTGCAGCTAACTCATGCATACATACATAGCCAACTTTTTGCAAGAAATACGAAAAAATACCCACAGCCTATTATACTGGAAAGTACGACGTTTTGGTATATACTTGCATAGTGGTGGAAAGGCCAAAATCTTACGTATTGGTCAGTATATATAGTAAAAAATGTGGGAGAAGAGAAAGCAAGAATAGGAGAACTTTCACTTGTGCAGTTGTTCACGACTCTACAGAAAAGTGAAGCAAAGCCGAACAATGTCTTTAACTAAACCGATATTCTGCGAGAATGGACATGAGAAGTAATACCTTTTTGTTTAAGTTTCGCTGTTGGCGAGAGAAAAGCAACGTAAATTGTGACAGAGAGAAACAGTCTGTCATTTCTTGTGAGTGTAAACTTCCTATACTACTTATTTCTCTGCCACTAAAAAGAGATATTTTCGAGTATGTTGAGGCATTACAAATGTTTCGTAACTCGAGAGAATTTTGACAAACGCTACAGACCTTAATACAAGCTTTATCAGAAGGTTTGATGCAAATAATAATAAAGGAAGAACGCAACTGTTCTCTTCTCATCCTCCAAATCTCGACTACCCACTGCGATGAAACCACAGTTCAGCCACTAAATAATTGATTGTTGGCTGAAATTGTTCTGAAGTTTCCCATTATTTAACAACGTCACTGTCAGTGTACGACACGAAAACAAGAGTGCTGAATTTGTGCCGGAATTTAGCAAACGTTGAGTTCAGCAACAGTGGATTGCGTTTCTTGTCCTTTCCCATGCACGATTATATCATTAAAGGTGACTGATCGTCCAGTCTCATGGGAAGGTACCGACATAAACTAAATAAGACAAACTGCCAGTCAGATATTTGAAATTTTCCTCAAGCTTTTCATGCACTTAATTCCTTCAGTACAAGTTGTAGTTTTGGGTGTATAATTTATCAATGTTTCAATTAATTAGTAAATCCGAGTTTGAAAAACGGTTATTGGAAAGAATTGACTGTTGTCTGGTCGGATCAACCTGATGATATCACTTCCCACTCGAATTAAGACTTTTTGACCACGGCTCGACTTGTGGGACAGAGTCCCAAGAAAGAAACAGACTCATTATTAGTGCAAAATTGTAATTTCATAATTGGAAGACTGGAGATAGTTTGACAAAGTTAGGAGAACGACGAGTTGGTTCAATATAAACGAGTTAGTGTAGGTGGGTGGATTCAGATACCGGGCATCACATCCACAAGGGGAATTATGTAGGAAGTTCATTTTGTATCATCGGTAGTACATCATCGTCGTTACAGACTAGAGTTTTAGTCTATTGAGTAGTGATTAAGTATGTATAAGGGCGTGATTCAATTAGCATTAATAATATGTAATCATGACACGAGGGGTAATTTATTACATAAAAACGGCCCACATGAAATACGTATTCCTTGTACAGTTCTGCATATCCAATAGTTTGAATTTTGCTAATACCAGAGACTTGCATCAAAACTAAAAGCAAGATGAAATATAATAAATTGAACTAGACGTGTTAAATTCAAAGAGCAAGTAACCGTTATGAGGGTTGATTATGTAAGTTTACTGTTAAAGAAGCTCATAAAAGGTGAGGCTGAATGGTCAAGAATAAAGTAGATACAAAGTCTGTTGATTATGAATAGTGGCAAGTCACACCTTGAATAATCAATCACCTGCAACTTTAATTCAGCTTGTCAATGAAATTCAATTCCATAATACAAATCAAATCGATGGCAGAAGGGTAGCGAATTTATTATTTTTCCTTGCATATTGCACAAATCGTAGTATGCATACTCAGCATATTAGCATATTAGAAGCAAGCTTAAATAAATACCTTCGACTAATGTTCTCTACGAAATATAAATATATAGAAGAGAAAGTAGTTATAATAAAACATAATCTTCACACAAGTCGTCGCAAAACACAATGAATGTAAATTGCCGGGATGTTATTTCGCCAATAATTTGTTTCGCTTTCGGGAACAGAGTAATAACATGAATGGGCTTAGTCTTGAATTGAATATTATTTAAGGTATCGAGATTGCATACGACGTTATATATCGTGCTCAACTTGAGGCATATATATGTGCACGAATTTTTCTTATGCGAATCTCACTTGACATTCAATACAAGAAAGCTTTTACCGATTGCTTTACATTTCAGAGAGATGTGTAGCATCTCTGGTTCACAATAAAAGCCCTCTCGTTTAATATCACTGGGAATTGAAATAGAGTTATTGGGATCCAAAAGGAGAAGAACAAACTGACGAGATCTTTCTTGACATTTGGATCTTATTGCAGGAGGGGAAGTTTATTGAAAAAGTAGTCACAGTCACAGTAGACCAAAAAACACTACACATAGCGGAGAAAAAGTGCAAAGATGAAGAAGTGTATCCCTCAGGCATCGCAATTAATCTTTCACGCCAAACGCTCTAAAGATCGAACACATGATCCAAGGATACGTTGCAGAGCTTGTAAAACTGCATTTATTCTCTTTTTGGGATCATACCTTGCCTGATTCAGATCCTGGACAAGCTTAGATCATCTGGCATGAAGCAATTATAATATGCAAATTATTGTTAATCATAACCATATTTTTTATTATCATTGTTGCATAAAGAATGGTATGAATGCTAAACTTGGTTGTAAAGTGTAATTTTACTTTGGGCAATACTAGCAAATGAAAATGCGCGATTTAAAAATCAGCCTAGAGTATGTATGTATATATTTACCAATTAAGATACAAAATAAATGCGTAAGTCATGGGATTGATCAACAAATATAAAAAATAAATACCAAATTATCCGACAGGAAAGTGTTTAAATGAATAATCAGGTTTAACAGTATTATTACGCAACATTTATGTTCCACGTTGGCTGAAGAACATATTAAAGATATAATCTACAATAGTAAATAAAATTTTATATGCAGTTAATATGAATTAAACTAGTCAACAACTTTGTACTTGGACTTTAGTAGGTCCATTTCTTCTCTAATAAATTGAGCATCCAACTTGTGATTTGCATGAAGTTGAAGCGTTCCATAATGAGGATTCTCATCCCAAAACAATACAGTGCTCTTCTGAAGTTCATGGATTGTTTTAATTTCCGCTTTCATTTCTGGCGAATTTGCAAGTATTTTTCCTTGCTGAATTGCAGACTCCATTCTTACAAACTTGGCCCGGGCTATGTGATGCTGTAGAATGCCTGTGCAAAAGTAGGACAAAATGAAACGGATACTATTACACAGCTATAATAAAATATATACGTACACTTATTGAATAGAAACAGTGGATGAGACTGGAAATTGAGTTCAAAAGGAACCCAAAAATTGTAATGCTCATTTCCATTCACAACGCATTCGATTCGACCGGTCGTCGCGTTTTACATATTTTCACTCTCAGTAATCAAGAACATACAGATGGACAACTATTGAAATCACATGTCTCCACATCACCCCCACATATGTACATGCGTACACCATTATCTATGATGTATTACCTTTCTCTGTAGAAATTCCAGGAGTAACGTTTCTGATGCTGAGAATATGGTCGCAACGTCTGATGAAGCTGTCCAATTCCTCTATCGTGAGCTGCTGGAGTTGAGAGGACTGGTGATTTATGATTGATTGAGCTGCCAGGGTTAGGATCCAGTGATTAGGGTGAAGAACGGAACCACTTTTGTCCGAAATAAAATCTTCCAAAATGTCAACTATGGATTCGCCAGTTTCATTTGATTCCGTCTCAGCCAGCTCAACTTGTTCTTGGAGCGAATCGACAAATGCAGAGACAAATGATTGACACATCTTGTACGGACATTGGCCACACTTCCAGTCCGATTCTGGATCAATTGAGTCGAGTGGCAACATCAGCCCGGATTTGCATTTGAAGCACACCACTCCGCCACTATATGTCCCGAGATCCGTTGGATCCAAGCATCGAGGACATTTACAGGAGAATTTGGCTTGATCCCGAATCTTACGTTGTCGTTTGTGAACACCATACTTGCTCAAATCGTAGTTATACGCCACCGTGAGCATGTCCCCTTTCTTTATACTGATGGAAGCTTTAACACGAATAATAAATTCAGGCGAATATGAAATCACCCAATTACAATTAGGAATGCAGGAATGATTTGCAAGGCATTGGTATGGGTAAATGAATTCGGCAAATCTGTAACACATATAGAATCACGAATACTAATGAGAGGGCAGATAAAGAGATCCTTTATAAGGGTCGAGTAGGGTTGTGCAGTGCGTACTTTGAGATTGAGAACATTTGCACACAAAAATCTCTCAGACATCCGATAACACAAACTCTCTCTCATTCTCTCAGTCTGCATATGTAATGGTACTTACGAAGGACTCCCAATTTTCTTCTCAATCCTTTGGATTGAATAACTGTTAACATTCAGGACACCCAATATCCTCCGCCAGTCTTCATTTGATCCAAAATTGGGAAGCCCAAACTGAGTCTTGAATTCATTAAAATCCACCTCCTCTGTTGAATCCTTTATTTCATTTTCGTACTGCAAATTCATAACCTTCTCCCAGGCCAGAGGATTCTGTTCCTTGAGGAGAAGGCCACGAAGGATGGCGAGCCCTTTGTAACAGTTTTGGATTGGCAAGTTAGGGGGAAAGCCAACTTTCTCTTTTGCAAGCAACTCACACTCCTGTTCGGCGTGGTATGAAACCTATATCAATGAACTTAATGAAATAAAATATCATACACTACACCACACCACATACATGCATACATACCCCAAATAAATGTATGTATGCATATTCGCAAACCCTAATGTACTCTGGGACTTGTTAGACTTGTGAGTTCCGACTGGGTCGGGTGTGACCACTATAAAGATTGATATTTAAAGATTTTAAAGGACAAGCTAGTGTGCAAAGTCTACATTTTTGCCAATAAAGAATGACCCACGAGTTCTTGTCCAAGTGCTGAACTCAATTTTAGAGTACGTGCTATGCGTCTCAGTTCAGCACTTGGACAAACGGGTTACGGGTAAATCGTCGTTGGATAACTCGAAGGCGGGTAGGGTGGTAGTTGGGCAACTCGTAGTAGGGTAACTCGTGGGAGCGAAAAGTGTCGTAGTCGGACATTTTCGCCGAATCCGATTTTATGATCGTCACATATGTCGTCACTCTATAAAAGAGCATTTTGGAGTGTGCATGATAGGGTTAAAAGCAATGTAGGTTGAACAAATAATTCGATAGAAAATTGAAACAGACGCTTCGGAGTTTTGTGTGAAAGTTCTCATATTCTTCTTACAGATTACTTAAGTATTTTCAAGTGAGCAACACTCGTGGTAAGACCTCGGTAGAGTGCCAAAATTTCTGGCAAACCCCCCGCTCAACGGTACAAACTCAACTAAATCGGCGGCTATTGAATCTGGCTGAAAATTATCAGACGCTCTAATTGAATGACTTGGTTAAACGTGTTACATTTAAAGTGAGAAGTACTTAGGTATAGTTACGCATGGCGATAAAAGAAACAACGACGCTGTTGATAAGTCAAAGAAGAACTTACTATTCAGGCGCTTATAGCACAGTGTTCAACTGCCTTTGCTCCAACATATAGCGATGTCTCATGCCTAAAGCGTAAATGGATTAACTCAGGGAAATTTTCAAAAAGACAAAAATCCTAATTTTGCAGAATCTTGTACATAATAATTCAATTTGATTGTAAATTTTAAAGCTAAAAGACAATTCCATATTTTCGACCAAATGTTCTTCTTCGACTTGTCCTCTACATTTACTTGTCCAACAACGAGTTGCTCTTCCTTCGACTTGTCCTCTACAAAATGTCCGACGACGATTTACCACCAACCCTGGACAAACGAGTTCATAGAAAGGGAACATTTCTAAGGACAATAAGAAATATACTGACGTTATCGCAATGGGGTCCACAGAGGGGCCATTTGCAGGTGGGACAACGATTCTCCTCGTTCCCATCGTTCATGACGCATGCACATCCGAGACAGATGGGGGTGGAGTAGTCTTGTACGTAGTCCGCACTGGGTCCGTAGAAGACCGGCGTCTCCTCCACAATCAACGTTCCGACAGGAATGTCACGAGCTGCTTCAAGGAATTGACCAAATTCGTCACATCTTGCCAACGTAAACCAAGGAGAAGGTTGTTGGGTCATCATTAGCTCTGTTCGCTGTTGGACAAGAGAATTAATTGAATTGCACAGATGACAGATTCCAAAATGTTTTCTACTACTTTCACTCGGCACCCCTGAAAAAGTACTTAAAACTTTATTAATTGTGTCAAAAAATATTGCAATTTCTTTTTACCTAGTTAGTTGGTGTAAAATTCCAGTTAAATTTCAGTAAAATATTTTTACACCAATTGGACAACCAATATATATATATAAGGTTTCCCATGTGCTTCTCAAGGACATTGCTTCGTCAACTAGTTTCATCCCGCTTTTATGCATGAAAATTCGCATGTGTACAAGTGTATATTCCATATTCTAAGTAGAGAATAATGAGTGATTAGTGCAATTTCGCAATTTTTTTACCAAAATATTTTATTCTCGTGTAGCTGCCATTAAACTCTTAAAATAAATGCATACTCTTTTGCGTATATATATGTACTTCACTAGACCCCATTATAATTTTGATTTGCCATTCTTTGTCATCCCGTGCAAGTTGAATGAACCATGTTTTCCAACGCCAGAAACGAAAGTTTGTGCCCCCGGAACAGATTCGGATGCAATGACATCCAGACCGTGTCGCATTTCAAATTGCATTGCTGATTCAAAATCTTTAGCATCGTACATTGCATTGTAGGCACTCATCCTGTCGCGATTAAGACAATTCTGTGGGAATTTGCTGATGGAATTTGCATATTGAATTGCTTGGCCAAGCGAGGTACCACAGGCAACAAGCCAGTTGGCTAATCCAATGTCGAAAGCTTCTTTCCCTTTCACAGCCCTTCCAGTCAAAATCATATCCATTGCTCTGCTTAACCCAATCAAATGAGGAAGACGGACGGTTCCGCCGTCAATCAATGGGACACCTGTGATAAATTAATGTTAATGAATTAAAGTCAGGTAAAGTCACAATTAAAGTAACAATAAAATAAAGATAATTTGATTGCGGGAGATCTTAGGGGTATTATTTCAAAGTAAACTTGACAATTTAGTATACTTCGTCCTATAAAATATACGCTTAATTACCGAATCTACGGCAAAAAACTCCCATTACAGCAGTGTCTTCTACAACCCTAATTAAAAATTTAGTCAAATTTACTTAAAATTCATTAAAGCTTTATCATAAATGTATTACAAAGGTTAATTACCGAGCGTCGCACATTAAAGCTAAAAATATAAAAAAATATTTTGATAAATATATTAATACATATATTATTTAACATTTAGCTAATTTTATTCTAAGAATGATATCTTAGAATCTCACCTAATTCTAAGCCACCTGCTACAGCATAACCTGTCAAATTATAATCAGCATATAATCTCGAATTGTGTAAACAATTGATTACACATTTAAAATGTCACGAACCTGATACTGCCGCAATAACAGGCTTCTTGAAATATCTTCGAGAGGGTCCCTATGTAAGGAGAACAAGGATTCATATAGTTTTATGCATGTACAAATCCTGAGGGCAGAGACATTTGCCAAGTTTACTCCATAGATAAAATGAACAATTTTATTTTGCTAGAAGTTACCATTGGGCCAAGACCTTTTTTGTTGAAAGGGTCAAAGTTTTCAGACCCTGACATTTCTGGACTCCCAGAGGCAACTTCAGAGAGATCGTACCCCGAACAGAATGTGCCCCCTTTTCCATACAAAACTGCGACTGGAGAGTCGGGGTCTTCCTCAAACGCTTTAAATGCGGCTTCGAGCTGGAGTGCCGTCGCGTGATTCACGCAGTTTTTTTTCTCGGGTCGATTTATACCGATCGTCGTCACCACGTAAGCCATCGTCACTTTCTCCACCACCACCAATTCCTTATTCCCATCGGATGGCATTTTTTCACCTAAACCAAAACAATGCATGGTTGCAATGACAAAATATATTTTGTAATAATGAAACTCTTTTTTTAATCTAAATAACACTAATAACACTGGCGAGCCCTAACACGGGCAGCGTCCCTTTTACCTTCTTGTTGTGGCGATGAGGACATGAGTCTGTTACCGCACATGACGACTGGTGTCGTCGTTCGGTCTCTGGCCATGGATTGATTTCTCAAGAATAATTTTTGCACATGCAGTATCAGTCTACCTGTGAATTCGACGATGGTTCCCATTTTCCTTGAGTCAAATTGTGAAACTAATTTACAAAACAGTTTGGAGTTTGTCCATAGAGGTCAACTACCACAATGTTGCAATAATATGTATATTTAATATTTATATGATCAAATGCATGTTGATACGCTCTTTTACGTGATAAAATTAAATCCAAAACATCCAATCAAAGTTCAACACAGATTGCAGATTACGATGAGGGAACTCTACGTTTACGTTATAGTGCCTTTAAATGGGTTGATATGATATAACCTGTATGAATGATGATGCTTAATGTAACGTCAACTCAGTTCAGTAGGTCAATTATTATCAGCTAACTAGAGTTATGCTTACATGCAAAAAAAAATTATGAAAGAAAAACTGATACAAATATTTGGTATAAATATCAGCTGGTTTCACAAAGACGCCGGTGGCGTGGTAAATGAGAAACCCAGTTCTCTCTTTCCTCAGGGTGAAACCCATTTATAAGATCGTTTGTTTGTAGGTTCGGTCCGATTTCGTGAACGAAACGGCACACAGACTTGAAACATAACTTATTTTAACATTTTTAACATTTTAACATTTTGGTCAAGGGACAGGTCGCAAGATTACGGTGCCAGGTCACTGGTCATGATTTTCTTCAGTCAAAACATTATATAAGGACTCAAATCGATAGTATTTTTGAAGAGTTCCCCAACGGAGTAGACCACCTGGGGTGGATGAGGTCAAAGATGTCTGAAACACGTCAGACGTGTCAATGTTAACAGTTCATCGCTATTCCTGAATGCGAATGATACACGTTTTGATGTACGACGTACTGGGTTACATGCATTGTAACAGTTTATTATAACATTTCTTAGCAAAAACAAAATCATGTAATTAATTTTAGTAGTTTAGTTTTCAAGTTTATATATAATGTAAAATTACTTTCAACTTATGTGCCATGCATGTGCTACACATTTGTATTGTTCATAATGCTTTCGGATGGATCCGGATGTGTTTTCATGAAATGCCTCACAAGTTCACATTTTACAGACCCACACAAACAAGGGACTGGATGTTCTTCATTGGCATCCAAACATTCCAATTGGATTTTGTACGAGCGACTAGGGATTAAGGGATAAGTAAATTTTCATATTAATTCATATTTAAGTTTGTAAAGTAAATGTTTAAGTAAATTTACCCATGATCTGATTTTTCCAGGTGCAAATCCCATCCTGTTATGTCCCCTGCTTCGAACGAGGTTTGTTCTGGCAGGACTACCACTGTTTGTTTCCAGTGAGTTTCAGGAAGCCATGGGGCAGTTGAGAGTGTGGCATCAACTCCTAAACAAGTTTGGCTTTAGGAAATTAAAAGTCATCACTAAATAAGAATAACAATAAGTGGGCTGGCTCACCCTCTTCATCTTGTACAGGAAATGCACACGTAAACCAAATACAGATTCCTTGCATGTCCCCATCTTCTTCAATCGCAAAAAATCGTCTATCGTTTAAAGACTTGAGTTCATCAAGGGAAATCTTCATAAGGTCCAAGTCCCATAGCAGTTGAGCATCTGACAACAGACAGTCAGACGCTACCTAAACACAAGGTAGAACCCATAAATTGTTTTTAATGCTACATAGTTTAGATTTATATGAATATAATTTACCGAAACAATTTCTGGCTTATTCTTTATTTTCGCAACGTCTGAAAAGCAACTTAAATCGAATCCATACTGTTTCTCGTTCCAAAAATCATGACAATTTTTCCACAATTCAGGAATTTTACATGGCGAAGCAAATATCTGAGCAGATTTTGGAAACATGAGCCCATCTGGTTTAAGAAATTTATTTCTAGCATAAATTACAGAATCTAGCATAGATTCATGGAGAAGATAAAACCCCATCCATTCGGAAACCATTATATCAATCTTCAAGTCTAGCTTAACGTCTTCTACTTTTGAGTGGATAACCTGTAAAACACATCGAAAATCAACGGGCAAGTAAAAAATATACACAATTCATCGATGGATATATACATAATTTAATGATAGTCGGTCATATAGTCATAGGTGAACTGTGGATGTTTTTGTATTACAGGGTGAGAAATAAAGAATGCCAAAGCTTTTTAAGTGTAGATATGTATGTGAAAACAAAAAAAATGTCACCAGTAAAAGTGACATAGTTTTGTGGCAAATGTACATGTCTACAAGGATCCGAAAACCAGAAGTTTGTACTTCCAATTGTTCAAAAAGGAGGTACAAAAATCTGAGCCACCTCTGCCACTATTCCGAAAATGTGTTTATTCTTATTCGAAAAATACTCGTAACTTTTTATCGACATCATGTACACTTTAAGTCAATTAGATGGATTTGAAAGCGTACTATGTAAGGAGAAACGGTCCTATAATACAGCAATTGCCAAAAATATTTATACAGGTGAAACCAACCCAAAACCCTGTCCAAAACATTTTGAAAAAGACTCATTCATAAAATTGTTGGTCATGTTTCAAGAAGTGCACTGAGCTGAGGATCCTTAAATGCTAGCAGAATAAAGATCTACTCCTAGGCCAGCAAGAAAAATGTCTAAACTAATTTCAAATACAAAATTTTCTAATTTTCCATAAAGTATTTGATACAGATATGTGATGAAAAAATGACGCTACAAATGGTCATCAAACTCGCCCAATTGAACGGTCTTTGGCATTATTTCAGAAGGAATATTCCAAAAGACAAACTCCAGCAAAAATTTTGAATTCGTTTCGCCTAATGTTGACGTACATAAGAAAAGAGCCAGCCCAAAACAGTGTGTTGCGACTTGCAACTTTTTTACCTAGTTTTTGAATCATCTGGAGTATTCTGGTTTTCGGATTCACATTTGCCTGGAATCCATGTCACCTTTAATGGTATCATTTCTTTTTTTTTGTTTTCACATATATGTGAGATGCAGTATATTATATACTGTATATATATACTGCATTTGACATTCTTTATTGCTCGCTCACCCTCTACATTAATTACTGTGCTATACTTGAAGTGAGTTAGTTATGTGCTGTGCGGATGGAGCTAAACTCACGAGAAACCCTAGTCTCAGCACAAGGTACTTCAGGAGGCCGTAGGTTTAAGCTCCACCCGCACAGTACATAACTCACTCACTTTATGTATAGTAATTACCTCAATCACATTTTGAAACCCATTTGCTTCCACAACCTTTGGTAAAAATCTGGCTAATTCCGATGCTTCGACAGCAATTACTTTCTTGGCACCAACGTTAGCACAGAACAAGCTGAGAATTCCTTCAAAAATCGTGATTTTATTATTCAGCCATACAAATTCATATATCTTATTGTAAACAACCAGTAAATTTATGATGTACCTGTGCCAGCACCAATATCCATTATAACCTTTCCTTCGAACAAATGTTTAGCATTGTAAATTGCATCTTTGTATGCATTTGTCCTAACTTTATCCGCTAACATCAGTCGATGGGTCTACATACACAATTACATGTATCAAGAATGAATAAAACAATTTATGACAGATTGATATAGCGATGAGCCAAAGATTACGTCAAAATCTTGATAACTTTCAAAATATTCCATATCGCTGGTACATGTTGCCATTGGGTCTTCAATGTTTTCACCAACTCTTTCCCCAGCAGCACTCCTGCTATCACCGCTCATTGCTGACAGACCAATATGCAATATCTTTCAAGAGAACAGATATAGCGGTTATCCAAGGCGTAACTTTCCTAACTAGTAACAAATAACAATGAGTTGAATCCATACACCAAATTACATGAATTATCGTTCGTAGCAAAAATATTGATGTAATGTGTCAAGCCACAAACGCACGCTGCTTTCTTTTTCAGCTGAATGAAACACGAGGTTTTTGTTGGCTGCAGAATGAGATTGGTTTTGCTACACATCCCGGCCAACTTTCCTTATGACAGCTTATTGTGCATTATACACATTAGCAGCAGCGAATTTGTTGACAGCTAGACAAATGAAAAGTTTTGATACAAATTACAAACATGTGAAGACCCGTTAATGAGTCATATTAAAGCCACAAAATGGATCAATTGCACACAAAGCTGGAAAACCACAAAATCTGCTAGCTTTATCCATTTATATATACATTAGTCGATCTCAAGTGTGTAGTCAGACAAATAATATAATTCATGTATTATATTAGCCAAAATTCTATTTTTAATCTTCGATAAATGCAACCGACTTGACAATGAATTTTGCAGTGCAGTATTTTCGGGAAACGATTTCCCTATTTTTTGAATATGATACCCCAAAAATTGTTCATATTAAAAGTAAAAAGATCGGTATCATTAATCGCTTGTTTCAGCTCGTTATTATTGGGTATATTGTTGGGTAAGTTTAATCGTATATCACTGAATATTATTAATCTTATCATTCACAATTTAATTAATTATTCACTACATATAATTTCATAATTCCAACTAATACGCAATAATTTTAATGATTTTGGGATAGATTTGCCATTGTGTACAAGAAGGGTTATCAGGAATCCTGTCCTGTGGATTCGGTTGTAACGACTAAAGTTAAGGGAACACTATTCACGGGGAACATATCAAGCGGCGAATTGGGAATTTCTCCGAACTTTAGTCACTTGTATCAGAGGATTTGGGACCCTACAGATTATGTGATACCAGCTTCTGGAGGGGATCAAGGGGGCTTCTTTATCCTCACAAACGTAGTGATCACACCGAATCAGTCGAGGGGCGTATGTCCAGAGGACCCCAAAGTAGCAGAAGCATGGTGTGATACTGATGACGATTGCCAGACAGGTCGATCACTGGAAGTTGGCAATGGAGTTGAGACAGGAAAATGCGTCAAGACTCACAGTCATCATTATAACACGTTAAAAACGTGTGAAATCTACGCTTGGTGCCCAGTAGAAATGGAACAACTTCCTTTGTAATAAACTAATAAACACATTTATATAAATTAAAGCATTTTGCTTAATGTTATCACATGTTAATAATCGTCAAAATTTTTATAGCAATGGAACGATTGCCTTGTTGGAAGGATCCAAGCGGTTTACCGTTCTGATTAAAAATGTGATACAGTTTCCCAAATTCGGAAAACAATACAGTCGTAGAAATATATTGGAAAACAGCACACAAACTTACCTCCAAAACTGCACTTATCACCATGAGTCGGACCCATTCTGTCCAGTCTTCAAAATCGGGGACATTGTTGAAAATGCAGGCGAGAATTATACTGAAGTTGCCATCAAGGTTGGTGTATGGCTTTAGATTTAACCTTGGTCTGTATTTTAGTAATATGGAAGACACCTCTTCCTCTCTTTTTATTGTGTAGTAAAATTATCTTAATATTTTTAAGGGAGCCGTTTTCTCAATTGGCATTACGTGGGACTGTAATTTGGACTTTGATTTTAAAGAATACTGTCGACCAAAATATTCGTTTCAGAGGATGGACAGTCCAAATGTTTTAATTTCCCCTGGAACAAATTTTCGGTATTAATTTATGATCAATAACTTCACAGTTGAAAGTTGAAACCTAGCTGTTTTAGCTAGTTAAAGTTTCTGTTTGTTTTATGAAGTACCGGAGAATACCACGAAGAAAATCGTAGGACGCTGTTTAAAAATTATGGAATAAAGTTCCTGGTTAATGTGGAAGGTCAGGCTGGAAAGTTTAATTTTGTTCCCTTACTGATCAATGTGGGTTCTGGGCTGGCTTTGTTGAGTTTGGTAAGTTTTTCTCAACTTAATTCAATTGTCTAATATACATAAATCTTCTAATATTCAGTCTGTAATTTTTTTTAGGCAACTATTTTCTGTGATATTCTTGTATTAAAATGTCTCAAGCATCGAGACTACTATCAAGACAAAAAGTATTTAGTAATTAGAGGTCCCGATGCCTTTGACCCAACATCGGCGGACGACCACAGTAACGCTCAGTATTCCCAATTTGATTGCCAACAGGGATCACGAGAAGAAGATTGTCGAATTCGAAATTTAATACCTAATAGCGATTGAGGATAACGAAATATAACTTTACGCTGGATTCAATTTTTCCTGTTGATTTTGTCCTGCAAAAATGGTAATTTCGACGCAGTCATTAGGGTGATAACCATACTGACTGTATGATATTACCATTACGATATATATTTAAACTTTATCAAATAAGCTTACTTACAAGTCTGAGTCATAAAATAAGTAAATAAATGAATGACACGAATTTTGATAAGAACGTTAATATTTGACGTCACTGGCTTTTGTTAATTGTCCATGGTCGATTATTTGTCAGTCTATCGACGTCATACACACAATTATTGCAGACGAGTCAAATTGACAATTAGAATTAGAGTCTGAGATTATCGTGATTCATTCATTATGCCAAGAACAACAGCATTACAAAACATTACATGAGTTTTGCCCATAGACTATCTGTGATGATAGATGTATATAATATGGAAATACAGTATATGCAGAAGCTTTTTGTTTTACATTTTTCATGCGCATATGTACATACGTAAAAACCAAGTTACGTTAGTTATGGCCATGTTATGGCATTTTAAAAATTTACATGATTTTTTCACCCCATGAAGCGGAGGTTCCTCGTTCGATATATTACATGAAAACAATAAAACATAACAAATAACAGCATATCATTGCAAAGAACAGAGTAAACTATCCAGTTGCTAACTATTTGTATCGTAGAATGTGCAAAAATATATGCACCCCGATGGATACGAGTGGGGTGAAAGCATGTTAATATATACAACTCTGTGGGTGAAAGTCAAGTGATGATGATGCAGCCAGATGGAAAGTCTGCACAAGACAAGAGGGACGACAAAAATGGCATACACCAAACGATCACACTAAAATTGAGGGACTACTGCCTACGCAGTTAAACTTGGCTCAAGAGGCATCATAAAATAAAGACCACAGACAAAATTGAACGAACATACTGCTGGAGAGAGCAAAGTGAAAGCAGTAAAGAAAATCACATGCCCCATACCAACAATCAACACATACCCACCCGCCTTGATGTACTTAAATAACTCCCTCATATTTGGTAAAACCATTATAAAAGAAATTCATTGTTGCTCAGACCTCATTAGAAAAGAGTCTTAACGGGAAATTATTAAATTAATATTAAATTATCAAAGTTGGCAGAAGAGAAAGCAGAGTGGCGACTGGAGGGCACCGTGAGTTTGGGTTTGGCGCCTGGTGTGCCAAAATTAAGTAGAGTAAGTTTCGCCTTGAGTGGATCACAAGCAGCACAAATACACAACACGGAAGTTCACCATCATATCATCAGCTAAATATTACTAGTATTTGACCACGGAAAATGTAGCCTTCTTCGTCAGTGACCACACCTCTCAACATTTTTCAACACCCCCACCAACACAGCTAAAAGTTTGGGGTTGTGCCTGGGTTTGGAATGTTGTCTTGTGACATTGTGCATTGAAAGTGTAAAGTGAAAATTAAACTACTTCAAACTTGCTGCAGTTGATAAATTAACTTACTTGAACAGAGAACGATAGCCAAATCTGATTATTTGGACTTCTGCTGCATGTTGGTGGTTAGTGAAACATTTTTTTAATTAATTGCTAATTATAATTCCCGTACTTAGTTTTTGTATATTAGTGAGGAAGGAAAGTGTCATAAATTCAAGGTCGGTTGAATTATGAAATTAGTTAGCATGTTATACATTCCAATAAAATTTTGTTTTAACCTTATAAATTGAATACTATAATTAGGTTTAAAATATCCTGGCATTTTGCATTTCAAAATGTATGTATTCTTATTGTTAGTCGAGATTTGAAATTTTTCCTTGATGCGTCATGCAGCAATGCTGAATCAGTTAGTCAGTCAGATGTCTAAGGCTTAAAGTCTAAGCTAATTGATCCATATTAAGTAGAGGATTTAAGGTGTAAGGACGTGGTTTTCCACATTACACACACACGCGTTCTAAAAGAGCATATTAATTCTGGCTAGCCTACCAATAATACTCGGAAAAACTTGTTTATTGACTCCTAACCGCGGGGAGGCGACTGAAGGTGAAAGTCTGTTCTATCTAATGTTCTGAGAATTTAAGATACGTGATTAATCAGTGTGCAAGGATGACTACGCCACACATTATGCACTTGTGAGAATCATACCGTTGGTCTGATTTAGTGATTTTCATAGTTGTCAGTTCATGTACTCTTCATTTTTCTTTCAGGAAAGTTCATGACGTAAGCTTTTTATTTACTTTATGCACAGAGAAGGTTATCGTTGCCAGAGTTTGAAGAAAATTAGCTCTATTTTTCTTAGTAGATGGTATTTAGTGCAAGGAAATGGCAAACATTCATTCATAAATTACCTGAGTATTACAGTTACAAAGCGATTAATATTCAATGTATGTAGGTTGTGTAAACTTGTGGTTGATTGAAGTTCAAAACTAAAGTTGGGGATTGGAATAGATGAGCGTGATTTTTTGCTAAATTTTAGCTTCGTCGCCTTCTCTGATCATCACTAATATAATATCAAACTCAGGAATTAGCATTGATTGACAATGTATTGATATGTTTAGCGTGTGTGTTGTTTGGTAGTATAGAAGTAGCTGATGGTAATGACAATTCTTGATTACGCAGGTAATACGTCACTCAACCTTTACCATCACACGGACAGACGACCAATTCAATATCTGAGCGTGTGTACCAGATGGATGGATGATTGAATGACTCTTAATATTACTTATTTAAATGGTGGAATGGGTGGGATCTGATTTTACCGTACACTGCATAGGCATTTAATTATTCCATTAACTAGAGGTAGGTTAATAATAAATAATAATTGATGTCTAAACGTAATTATTATCAGGGGTCAATTTGAATAACTTGAAATAGTAATAATATACCATATGAATTGACACAGAAAAATTATTAAAGCTTTGGAGACATGGAATAAATTTTCTTCAAACCAGAATGAAAAGTCTTCTGGAATACTAGTGTGTTTTATACTGAAAACGAAACCTGTAAACCATCAAATCAAAGTTTAACCACAAACAAATATAAACACCATTTCGACCTTCAACTTAAGTTGTCTCAAGAGTACCCGTGTGGATTACCTAATAACATAAAGCAATACTGTAAAGCAGTAGGCTAACCTGTTGTGCAAAAAAAATCAATATTGTGACAATTCTTCGTTTGCTTGGTACAAATACTAAGTTTTATTAAGAATTAAGTAAGGGCAGCTATACACATACTCACGGGACAAATAACAAATATCTCCAACATGGCTGGAGCTCGTATATTCGGTTTCGATCCGAGGAATTCTCAGGTAAATACATATTTCAATTTTTTAAAACACGAATCATATTTTACTATTGTGTGTCTTTTAAACTAAAAGTTATATGCAAATCTCTATGTGTCTGTAAATTCAGAATGACGAACCTACAAAATTGCTACGGCTCAAGGTGATTGCTGGTCATTCACTGGCGAGGAAAGACATTTTTGGAGCTAGGCAAGTCCTTGGATTACTTTCTGTACATATTTCATTAAAAGGTTTAATATATTAATTCTTCATGTTGTTCAATTTCTAGTGATCCGTATGTTCGAATAGATTTAAATCCTGTTGACACAGAGGAAGCTGTTGATTCAGTTTTAACGAAAACCAAGAAACGAGTAAAGACTTAAATATTCGTACCCAACACCGGATAACGTATGTAAATGGCCATGGTTGATGATTATTGCGATATTTTTCAGACTTTAAATCCTACATGGGACGAGGAGTTTATATTTCGAGTCTTGCCCACCCAACATAAACTTGTTTTACAAGGTAAATTAATTTTTATTAGTGTGAAAATCAGTGCACACGTATCAAAGACGCTATTTTAATGTAGTTTATTGTTTATTTTATCCACCCAAATTCCTAAAAATATTTGTTTTAGTTTTTGACGAGAATAGACTAACAAGGGATGACTTTTTGGGAATGATCGAAATACCATTGATGACCCTTCCGAAAGAGGCTGACAATCGTGTCATACCACCTAAAAAATTGAATCTTCAACCAAGAAGTAGTCGCAGTAAAGTGAAAGGATACTTGACCATATATGCCGCGTTCATTCCTGATCCATCAGGTAAGAATTAAGCTATTACGCAACTGTTGTACTACGTACATAATTTGGAATATAAATAATAATAATGTAGTTATGATGAATATTTATATATAACATATTTTATTTATTTAGACCCAGCCGACGTTCCCAACGGTAGTGCTAATGCAAACTCTGTGGAATCCATTACCCAAAATGTTCAAGCAGTCGAAGTGAGTAGTACAACACCAACTGCCAGTAATGGAACAAGGTATTAGATTTGATTAGGATTTCAAATTACTGTAATCGACTGCTACTTGCTGCAGTTACTTCTATCGAATCCAAGTTTAGGGTTGAATTCGATAATTACAATTTATTTTGTAGCAAGTATTGCATTTGTATAATTTTTTTAACTCACTTGGTTGTTGTTGTAAACAGTGACTTGCCTGCTGATGGTGCTAGAGGGGATCCTGCTACGACTACTAGAGTATTCCGAATTAATATTAATACGAGGGTGGTGGTGCCTTCCAAGTAAAATTTTAAATACTAGATCATTTACTTTTTAGTCAAATGAGACACTTCCCCCGCTCCCACCGAGTTGGGAGGAACGTCAAGATGCTAATGGCCGAACATATTATTGCAACCACAGGTGAGTAATGTTACTGTCTATTTTGCAATCACAGGTTCTAATAATCACCCAGCAATACAACTATTGCCCTTATAATGCAATATGCTGGTCCAATTCTTAGCAAATGCATACATTTCATTATTTTCATACAGCACTCGAACCACACAATGGGAAAGACCAATGCCAGGGTATGTATCTATGTACTTATTAATATTACACACTTTCTATTACACCTAATTAATCATTGTATATTTGAAAAAAACATGAAATATTATACAGAGTGGCAAATCGTCCTGAAACATCCGCCCAAGAAATGCATGAGATGGGACGAAGGTTTCATATTTCAGTTGACGAAGATGACCAATCTTCATCTAGTCAAAACCAAGTACTACTAGTATTATCATTATTTAGTGACGCATAGGAATGGACGAAAAAATATTGCTCAAAAATAATATCTTGTCGTATTTGCTTACAGAGCCAAACAGATTCTCCTCAAGCAGATGCCCCATCTGCGAGTAATTCTCGTCGTAATTCTGAGGTAATATATTATAATTATGTAGACTGAGTCTGAGATACTTTATCTTCCAACAGTTAATAACTGTTTCTCTTTAACTTATCAAGGCCCTAAATAATGAGGGACTCCCAACGAATTGGACCTCACAAGTTGCCCCAAATGGTCGAATATTTTTTATCGATCATAATTCAAAGACAACAACCTGGATTGACCCACGGTAAGTGATTCAACATTTCAAACTTTAAAATTAGTATTAGTCTACTAAATCTAATTTATCACCCAAGAACTGGAAAACCATCTCCAACTACAACATCAGCTACAACAAGGACCACACGGCCTCGCCACGATGACCTGGGCCCACTCCCAGATGGTTGGGAGGAAAGGTTACACACAGGCAAGTTATTTTAAATGATTTTGCTCAATTTACTCTACATATTCCATTAAAATGGGATCAAATTCAATGCATACTAATTTTTTTCTTGGTTCCAGATGGGCGAATTTTCTTCATTGATCATAGTAAGCTAATTTTGTTTGCAAATAAACAAGAAACTAAAGGGTGACTAATAAATGATTTTTTTGTAGACACAAGAACCACTCAATGGGAGGATCCTAGATTATCAAACCCAAAAATTGCTGGCCAGGCTATTCCGTATTCAAGGTTTGTTAGATGATGATCATGAGATTTATTATACATTGCTGTGATTCTTTACACGAAAACTTTACTAATTTGTTTCAAATCCCTGTAGAGACTACAAGCGCAAATATGAGTATTTCAAGTCAAATCTAAAACGTCCAGTAAGAAGCTTATTTACCCATAGTATGTACGCATTTTATTAAGGATTATTTAATTAACTCTGTGTATATTCCCGTTTAGAACTGTGCCCCCAACAAGCAAGAAATAAAAGTTCGGAGGTCTCACATTCTGGAAGACTCATATAGAATAATTTCTCAAATTCAGAGGTGTGTAATGATACATGTGTTATTTCAATAAACGCATCAACATGTAAAAGACAAGGGTTTAATATTATGAATGATCGACAATGAGATTCTTATATAATTTGTTTTAATCAACAGACCAGAGCTATTAAAAACAAAATTGTGGGTGGAATTCGAAGGGGAACCTGGACTAGATTATGGTGGCCTCACACGAGAATGGTAAGTATGATTATATGTATTTATAATTAATTTAATTTGCATGCTAAGCTACCCAATTCCTAATATAACACTGCTCTTTCATGCAGGTTTTTTTACTTGAGCAAAGAGATGTTCAACCCCTATTATGGCCTTTTTGAGTACTCAGCTATGTAAGTCGTATATAAGTAAAACAGTTAATAAATATGCCTTGGCAAGAAAACTGATTGGACGGAAACTATTATCTAGTTTGTATCTCTTTATGTTTGTAGGGATAACTACACACTTCAAATAAACCCTTTCTCTGGGCTATGCAACGAAGATCACTTGAGGTGGGTATGAAATGTAAATTGCAACGAAATGCAAAAAATCAAACACATGTATAACATACAACCATCAAATTGCCTCATGATATTATTTGTTTGTTTATACATGAAACGTTAATTTCAAACCAACCCCCAAACCCAAATAATACATCATTTCTAATTCATTCTTTCAAATTTCATATTTTGTTTTTCTATGTTTTTAGCTATTATAAATTCATCGGAAGGGTTGCGGGTATGGCCGTATTTCACGGAAAACTTCTGGATGGTATGACAAAACCTTTTATGTGCTGCATTCTTCACATTGTCTTGAATACAATGTGCTTGTGTACTAAATATCTTACTAATATTTATAGCTTTTTTTATCCGTCCTTTCTACAAAATGATGCTTGCAAAGCCAATTGAATTGGAAGATATGGAAAGTGTGGACTCTGAATATCATCGATCATTACTTTGGATAAGGGATAATGATCCAAACGAGTTGGAACTAACCTTCTGTGTAGACGAGGAAACCTTTGGAATTACTAGTCAGGTGATGCAAATAATTTCTCCCTACCGTTTAAACTAGACAATATAGTGATATAATTTATTTATTCTTTTAGCGAGAACTGAAACCAAATGGTGCCCAAATTCCTGTGACTAACGATAATAAAAATGAATACATTAAGTAAGGATATATTTCATAATTGCAGATATTTCAAATCTCTATGAAATGAAATATTTATATATGATTGACGTTGATCGATGATGCACTTTTGTTACCCCATTTAGGCTTGTAATTCAATGGAGATTCGTATCAAGGATCCAAGAACAAATGAATGCATTTTTAGAAGGTTAAAAATCATAACTTTAAACTGACGACTGCGTTTACGATTTTTCATGTTTTGCTGTTAATTTAAATTTTCGTATTTATATGTATGTTTTTTACTTAAAGGTTTCAATGAAATAATTCCAACGGCCTTATTAAAGATCTTTGATGAAAATGAGCTAGAATTGCTAATGTGTGGAATTCAGGTAAATAATTATTTTGTACATTAGTGTATTTAATTTATCTCATGGTTTCAAAATTGATTGTTCTAGGTGGTCGCTGTGAAAGACTGGAGGCAGAATACTGTTTATAAAGGCGACTATCATCCTAACCATATAACCATTCAATGGTTCTGGAGAGTATGTCATATTATACGCTTGCTTTTATTCCTAATTTCATGGTATAAGCAAACCAAGTAATATCGATAATGCAATTCATGTTTCAGGTTGTTTTGTCGTTTGATAATGAAATGAGAGCACGGTTATTACAATTTGTAACGGGAACTTCGCGAGTCCCTATGAACGGTTTCAAGGAATTGTATGGTTCCAATGGACCACAACTTTTCACTATAGGTAAGTAGGTGAAAACATTGCAGTCTATAAATTATATCCCTGCTAAATATACAGTGACGTGAATAAAGCAAGTTATTATAACGTGGAAATGATGAATAAACCTTATCTATTGGATATTTCAGAGAAATGGGGAACGCCAGACAATTACCCCAGAGCTCATACTTGGTGCGTTATTATTAGTATTTATTATCCTGCGATATTGCTTTATGAGTTTAATACCAATCAGGTTATTAAAATAACATGTTTTTCTTGCATAGCTTTAACCGATTGGATCTGCCGCCATATGAGAGCTATCAGCAATTGAAGGAAAAATTAATCAAAGCCATTGAAGGTTCTCAAGGTTTCGCCGGGGTTGATTAGCGTGTTAATGCTTAGTTTTGTCAAGACAGAGAGAACATTTTTTCGAGAACAATTACAAATCAGTTTCCAAATTACAAATATATGGGTTGCATTACCTAAGAATAATATACTTACTTACATGCTATACAATATCGTCATATCGGCTATTAAACCCAGCTCAAGTGTATGTCTATATATATATATATGTTGTACCTCTGTCGCCTACCTAATTATGTATATTGAATTGATGTGTGATACCATATATTTCATTTACGTTATCAATTTTTCACTTTAAACACAATTTACAAATTATAAATTCCTAAATTGTGTGTCTGGGTCACCATGCTTTTGAACTTGCAAGTTTGAAATGCAGCCATTAAATCACTAAGTTTTGTGCTATCCAAGTTATTATGTCGAGTATTCGTTCGTTTGGTATGACTGCCGCATTCCAACAAGTGAATGATTAGCTGCAATTTCTGTCTGACTGATTATTAGTTATATCAACTATATGCATTATCCGAGGTGCTGTTTTAATACTTTTCTCAATCATTCCGAACAGCTTTAGTTCAGAAAGATTTTAGCATATCCTTTGTCCTTCAATGTGTCGTATTTTCTCTTCTCCCGGAATCGAGAGAGAATGTATTATTTTGCATCTACATTTATATATAACAATGCCACAATCTGTTAATAGTAATTAAATAGTATGACCGAAAACAAATATTATATCAGTTTTTTTAATTTGCTGTCCAGCCAGTACACGATAGTACCTATAACTATTAATAAGTATTGTCATTACCTTTATCATACACTCGATCCTCTGCCCCTCCGTCATTCGTGTGTGTGCGTACCAATATTAAAACTACACGTCTTACGTCTTATCAGACAGATGCACACATGCCTTTTACAGAAGTAACTTGGATTTTATTATGAATAATTACATGTAAATGTAGAATCTTACAAGTACATAACACTAATAAAAATGGAATCTACCTAAAAGTTTAAATATTTAGACACGCAGATCAATCATCATTATCGTTCCAAAAAGTCATGTTTCCTGTTGCCTAAAACATTTGTAATATTTAACTTTAATTTTCTGTTGGTAATAACTAGAGCCAACTGTCGAAATAAATAAAAGTTTGATCAAGAACCTGTTTTTCGTATTCTTATAATGTCTTGCATCTCCATAATGCATGTCTCATACCTACATAGATATGTATATGGTAATTTGGGATAGTAAGTCATCTTTGTCATTGGTATTGGTCATTATCACAGAGCTGTGTAGTATTCTCGTATTCTTATATTATTATATTTCAGTCATTATTCTCTATTTCTCTCATTGTACAATATGCATAGTTCGGCAAGATCATGTCCTTCCTCATTTTTTGTTCCTCGTTTATCACTACTTTTCTTACGCCAAGTTTTTCTTATCCTTTCTTTCTCACGCCAGTCTAGTCTACCGCTTCCAGGAACTTTATTTCTTGCCGACCTATGACAATATCTGACATTACATTACAAATAATGTGACATTGTTTAATGACCAAGATAATCCTTCCTAATCTTCTTGCAATACTCAATATACGTAGATACGTATACTTACCTGTGGCTAGGTGTACTATGCTCTTCCTTCTGGCTGGCATGAAAGCAGTATCTTATTAATACCGAAACTAATCCAGTTTCCAGTAGTCACATAGCCCAATTGGAATAATCAACTGGCTTCTCATCCCATTCTCTCATTAGAGAAATCTTCTTAATAAGTTCCGTTTTGTGATAACTTTGTGCAGAGTTATTTAGGATCCAAATATGTTGAACTTGAATATTTTGTTGCTTCTACTGTGCATCGTCATTTTAAGTGACGCCAAATGCCGACAAAATCATGAGGAAGACGGTAGAAACACTCGCCGACGACCATTATACACCGATCTGAGTTACACTCTCAGCACAGATACAATTTTTTTCCCAGGTGCAAGAGAATTTTCTCTTAACAAAGACTACGATGGTGTAAATAAGAGTGGAATATGGTAATAATAACCTAATTTAAGCTAACCTAGCCTACTAAACAACTTGCAGTTTTAACATTTTATTTGTCGTCTAAACACATAATTTGTAGGTACTCTGCATTCTCATTTTGCATGGGGGAACACGGAGGGACGCACGTTGATGCGCCATTCCATTTTTTTAAGCAAGGGTGGACCCTCGAGCAAATCCCCTCCTCTCATCTTATCGACGTTCCTACTGCGGTTATTGACGTAGAGTCCGTCGTAGCTAGTTCAGATGCTCCGAATGAGTTTGCACTCGACGTGAGCCACCTCATCCAGGTGAGATTTAATTTGAATTAAATTTGAGCTAAACTTCAATAATCAATTTGAATTTAAGCATGAAAAAGAGAAGGGAGAAATCCCCCCTGGAAGTGTTGTGTTGGTACACACTGGCTGGTCGAAATATTGGCCAGACAAGATCCGATATTTGGGTTGGAACAATGAGACACAGACAACAGATAAACCTCATACCAATTTTCCAGGCGAGTTTTATGCAGCAAAGATAATACATATAGTAATAAATTGGTTTCAAGGTATTTTATGTATGCAAATCTTTCATAGGGATACATCCAAATGCGGCGAAATGGTTGGCAGACGAGAGGCAAATTGTTGGAGTCGGAATTGATACCCCATCCGTTGATCTAGGAAATTCGAAGGTAAATGCATATACACTATGCATATACATTATATGCATATAGCACTAACATCACTACTTAGCAAGCATTTATTTACGAATATATATTACCAATAATCCCACAATGGCATTCCTATTCACGATGCACAGCTTCTCTCTTCCTCAATTGCAAATTACATTAGATCGTCAGCGAGATTAATAAAATTGTGTAAAATTTCAGACATTCCCCGTTCACATCTTTCTCGCTGAAAGGCAAATTTACAACATTGAAAACGTGGCTAATCTCCACAATTTGATTCAGTCCAGCAAAAATTCATCATGTGAATTGCATCTGTTTGTCCTTCCTATCAAAATTGTTGGAGCTACTGGGGCACCAGCCAGGGTCCTAGCCTTTTGCAAATAAATTCACAAGTACAAAAATCCAGAGCTACGAGGAATGCTTAGTTTTTAAACAATCCTTATGTATCTACATATATATAATGCGAAGGATTTGAGAGATATACATATATGTTGTGTGACGTCAAAAGGTTATTTTCAATTCAAGTATGAAATGTAATAAACACAAACATACTCGAAAGTCTACCTGTTTCGTGAGAGTTATGTATTATTTATATTTGTAGGCGAAAAAGGAAAAAGAACTGTAAACTATTTTAATCCACAATTTTAATAAAGCCAGAAAATCTCGACTTTCAAGAATTGGAATCCCGTTTTATGTTCTATTTGCAGAAAAGCAACTTTATGTGCGTTACTTACTTTTGGAATGCTCCAAAAATAGTTCATACAATATTTTAGTGTTAAAATATTTGGGCAGTTTTTGATTAGATCCATTCTCACTTCAGGAGGGAGGAAATTCCACTCTCCTTCCTTCAAGTGAACTTAATGCAGATAAATGTACTGAAACCACACAAGAATCTTAATGACGTCCACAGCCATTCAAGTATCTAAGTCGAATAAGAAGTACTCCTCGAATGCTCAAGTTCATCAGTTTTGCAAGTTCTGAACAACGGAAGACTTGATACTGATAGTGAGTAGTACATGTAGAAAACTTGACTTGACTTACGCCAAGCCTTGCCGTGCCTTATATAAGGGGCCGTCTATTCCACGAAGGAACACATATTATCAAGTACTGCCTTCCCTGCCTACCACAACAACCAGAAGAAGAAGGGATTCTTGTTCTTATGCTGTGGGCCTGGGAATCTGGGAAGAGAAAGTCTATGAAAGTGGATGCACCTAGAAAATCTGGGTGCAGTCTCAACTGCGAGATCTCATCGTCCTCACCAACTTTCACTTTGCTCTCTCGTCCTGCACAACCACCGTGACAGGGGAACGAAACACAATTTTCCTCCAGTTAAGCTCCAAAGTTACGAATCCTTCTTGTTGTTCCAAACCACCAATTTTCCCAACAATTAAAATAATTGCATAGTTTTAGAATTGTAAACAACAAACAAGAACAGCGGTTGGTCGACTTGAATTCCCAACTAAATTATTCATCCAACTGGTAGAGAAGGATATTGAGATTGCCTCATTCAAAAAGTAATTAACATTGCATATTGGGCATTTAAGTAAATATTCATTATTGGACATAGCCATATGCTTTCACACATGTGGGTCATCATGTCCTTGCTGAAGTAACTTTCTAAGCAATATACACAACTCTCCCTACATAATTTTCTACCCAGTCAAGTGTGTGATGTGAGTGAACAGCATAAAGAAAACTTGAAGAATTGCCTGGACAGACCTTCACCTTACTTGTCCGACCGTCAACTCTCTCTCATTTGTACCCATCGTCTCACTTTTGCTCAACTTTCTCAGTACAAAACTTTGGTGTAGAAAAAAAAGTTGTATGCTCTGCTGGTGGAATATGTACTGTACTGCAGCAGGCCCAGCCGAGTGTATGTGTAGCAACTTTGGTGTATCTCTTCTTGATTATCGTTCCACAATTCCAGAGTAAAAAAATGGGGTCTAAAGCGATTCTCGAGAACAAAAGCTCCTTGTCAAATTTAATATCCCCCGTAAGTCCTCCGACGTCAGCTTGCTCCTCGTCCGATTTTTCGGGATTCCATCTCCCACCAGCGACTACCCGGATTTACCCTTACTCCAATTTTGTAGGAAAAAATAATACCAAATTTAAACAGAGACGAAATCGGAACGGCAACAATTCGTCGCAGCATGGACTTCTCTCTGCTTTCTTCTGGTTTGCACTTGGCACATTTATTTCTGTCCTTGTCATTTTCATCGCAACACAAACCTTGGTGCTGGACCTAACGTCGTCATCCACAAAAAAACATTTATGTGAACAGCAACCGCAAGGACAAGAAGATAACAACCTCACAGATTCTGCCTCCAATGGAGACAAATGCTTCAGAGTCGAGTGTTTGAAAGCAGCCTCGCGAATTATGCATCGAATGGATCAAACACAGCAACCGTGTGATGACTTCTACCAATTTTCTTGCGGCCGATTTATAGCTCATAATGAAATACCAGACGACAGCTTCCAACGGTCCACCTTGCAGGAAATGCAGGAAAGTATCTTGGTCGACATTAAAAGTAAGTACTTCGGATGACAGTGCATTTCTCCATTGTTACACACTTTGTAGGTTAGTTAGATTAGAGATGCACATAAATTATGACAATTTTCGTCGTTTTAAAACATAGAACTGATTGACCAACCTGGGTCCGCTAATGAAAACATTGCTATTCAAAAGGCTCGTCAACTGTATACCTCTTGCATGCACAATAGCTTCAGAACTTCCCACTTTACGGATTACAAGCATCTGCCAATTTACCAAGTTTTGAACGCGGATGGCATTGGATTTTGGCCCATTCTTGAGGGGTCAAATTGGAACAAGGTGAGACAATAGTAATATTTATTTAATACAAATTTATGAAGATGTAGTAATATTTTTTTGGGGTAATTCTTGGAACAAGTCCGAGTATTCTTTAGAACGCCTGCTTGCACAACTCATCTCTCATCAAGTCCAAAGCATATTTGAGATTTATGTTACTCCAGGTAAGGGCTGATGATGACTAACGGGTGTACTTACTCTAATTTGGCTAATCTTGGACTAATTTTACCCATTTTATTTCAGATGATGTGGATTCCTCCCAGTACCTCCTTCAGGTAAGGTCATTATGTTACCTATGCACACCCTATATTGAAATACCTACACGACTTAAGTTCACACCATTGGATAAGTTGTGCATAAGTTACTAACGATTCTTGAAGAAATCAACAAGCACGTAACTCTGCGTGCAGAGAAAATATAAAACTGACTAAAACCAGTTTGCCAGCACGATGTGTGTGTGTGATGCTGTTTTTATTGGAGTCAAGTGAGGAAAGTTTAATCCGATCTCTCTCCGACTTTTGTAAATATGTGTGCTTTGTCTACTGCGTTTTCCTGGCGGGTGAAAGTTGTTGAGCTTGTGTATGTATGCACGTACGGAGTAATATATATAAATGTACTTTATTTTCTTCTAGTTTTATAAGGGGGAGCCGGCCATGGAGAAAGCATTTTTTCTCAATTCCACCAATCCGGATTATATGAAGTATTTTCGGTCCTACAAACGCTTGTTATTGGAATCCATCTTAATTCTTTCTCAGGGAAGTCCCACAGTTTCCTCGGATGTTGATGCAATTCTCGACTTTGAGACCAAGTTTGCCAAGGTTTGCATCCTTCTTCTTTCTCATATATACTTTCATCCTCCAATGAACTGCAACTAATTCTATAGAATACGTACATACATACACTTATAAGTTACAAAACCTTTTGTCCAACTTTTTTTCGTAAGCCAGCTTTCCTTCCGGTTGACTTTTTTGGCAACCAGGGTACACTTAATTTAATTAATTGTATCCCTGTATGCCAAGTCTGCTATATACCTATGTATTTGTATAGGCATGCATGTTCATGTGTGTTCAATACATGTATTCGTACGTCTATATATATATCCTTCAAGATTCCTAAACTTTTTAGCTCGTTTCCGTGGAGTGAATGTATTAGGATTATGTAATGAGGTTGTCCAAGGATGGGCCATCTTTTAAAAATTATTAAAAATTTTCGAGTTGGGGACAGGCACGCATTTTTTGGCGTTGTCACCCGTTGTTGGGTGAGTGAGAAATTATTTTTCGGTGGACTTTTTCGTTTCTAACTCGAATGCATATTATGTGATATTGATGACCACTTCTGCCCCCGATAATTTTGTATATTTCTACACTTATTTGTATACATATTTTTATGAAGATAGCGACCACAACCAGGAGGATAATTCGAGTTCCAGATAAAGAAATGTTTATTTATCTTTAAAAAAACTTGACAAAAATTGACATCCTCATGATTTTAAAAACTTATACCATTAACAACTCATCTTCGGTATCAGCAGGAGTGGTTTCTGAATCTGCACCTGCAGCTGCTACCTCATCAATTACAAAATCTTCCAGAACTAAATTATCCTCCTCCTCTTCGTCCTCCAGGTCCACCGTTATCGTGGGAGTGATAATTTAATAATGAAAATTTTGTCAAGTTTTAGACAAATGAAAATTTGTTCTCCGGAACTCGAATTATCTACCTGGTTGTGCTCTTTATAAAAATATGCATATAAATACGTGTACAAATATATAAAAGTATCGGGGACAAAAATGGTCATCAATATCACATATGTAATATGCAATCGAGTTAAAAATTAAAAGCAGTCCCCAGAAAATGTAGCAAAAATAATTTTTAAAATAATTTCTCACTCACCCAACAACGGGTGACAACGCCAAAAAATGCGTGCCTGTCCCCAACTCGAAAATTTTTAATAATTTTTAAAAGATGGCCCATCCTTGGACAACCTCATTACATAATCCTAATACATTCACTCCACGGAAACGAGCTAAAAAGTTTAGGAATCTTGTATATCCTTTGAAACAAAGAAATGTGAGAATTCCGAGGAAGCGGTTTTCAATAATGCAGGTCGGCAGTGATGGCGCAAGCAATGTATGTGTATTGTGCAAGTTTGTCATAATATTGACTGATTCTAATCCCCATCTGCCAAAAGCCAATGTCATCCTGTTCTTTCTCAACTGAAAGGAGCTCAGCAGAAGTGACTTTTCATTTTCATTGCCACTTTATCTCTTTCTCTCCCATATCACATAAGATTACCTACTTACATTAAGTGCATACTTCATTTAATATTGCACCACAGCTCTCTCAAGACTCCAGATGCCACTTTGACGGGTTTAATCTTGACTCAACGGAAGATGAAACCAATGGAAGAATTACAATTGCTGAAATGAAGGCCAAAGTCCAAAATGTGCGTATGTACAAAGCTACTGTTCACTTTTCAGAATTACCATCCTACTTTATGTATTCTGTACACGCGTACTTTCTTACATTTCGATATATTTTTAATTGAGACGTTTTTTTAAAAATTGTTTACACCTGCAGATTGACTGGCGTCTTTTGGTGCAAAATACGTTTGTAAGTACACAGATAAATATATTTTTTTGTTCCCCCGTTTGTAGGCACACTACGCCGTTACGCCGTACTGGCTGAATAGATTCCAAGTCGTAACACATTATTAATGTTTTCAGGATGTGCTAAACATTGAGAGAAATGTGACGGACGAGATGTATGTTTACTTTCACTGCACAGAATTTTTTCCCAAGTTGGTTGCACTTGTCAATCAAACTGACAGCAGGTGGGCAATAAAGCGACGCTTAAAATATTTATTGGTTTACATTGTGCCAAAGCTGTTTGTCGTATGCACCCTAGATTGAATTTTATTCCATTGTTTGCAGAACTGTCACAAATTATTTAGTCTGGAGATTCGTATTTAGGTACATGCCATTTCTGGGAAATAAATTTCTCCAAATCTGGAGTGAATTTATGAAGGATGTTCCTGACACCAATGAAGAAAAACTTTATTTGTCCAGGTAGATAAAATTTAGCATTTTAAAAATCAGCCAGACAGGTAAACGTGATGCAATATATAGCGGAATTAAGAAATTAAAATCCAACGACCTATGAAGATCACATGAAAATTGAAGTTTGATTTTATAGATGGAAATATTGTGCAAACATTGTAAATGATGGTAAATGAGCACCTCACTTAAACACCAGCATGCAGCATATATACTTTTATTTGTTATATTCTACTTTCAAATTTACCATTTCCAGGTTTTGGTTTGACTGTGGCTTACCTCTACGTTCAAGAGAATTACAAGAAAAGTACAGAGATGAAAATTAAGGAAATGATTTCGTACTTAAAACGGGCATTTGAAAAAATCATTGTGGAACAGGTGCAGTTACATAGTTTAGACCATTATTTTTGTGAAATGTTAATTCTTGGGGAAGTATTTATATGCAACTTTGTACGTATGTAGGCTTGGCTTGACTCTCGTTTCAAGCAGGATGTCATAGACAAGGTAGGAATAAATTATTTTCCATCTAAATTTGAATGAAATACTATCAGCAATGCATTTTCAGCTGCAAAACATGGGGAGCAAAATAGGAATCCCATCCTTCATATTGGAAGAGAAAGCTCTTGAGCACGAGTATGAGGGGGTCAGTTGAGACACTTTCTCCTTCAAATGACTTTCTAGTGATCACGATGAGACATGTCTAACCAGCATGATTTTCTTAATTCACCGTGTAGTTGGACTTCAATGAAACATACTTTCTCATGAACATTTTAAAATTAAGGAGATACGAAGTATCAAAAGAGATTCGGAAGGTTAACCGACCTGTCGACAAAGACAGGTAGCAATGATAATATATATGTACTTTGCATAAGTTGTTAGCTTTGTGTACGAGTGCATTTTACATACCCTCTCATTTCCTTTTCTCCAAATGACAGAGACTGGTTGGTGCAGCCGATGGTTGCAAATGCTTTTCATAATCCCACTGCAAATGAGATTGGTATGCTATTTTTGGAAGTTTGGAACAAATAACATAAAAAATTATAACAATTGCACCTTATTTATTTATGTGTCTTCATCACATAGTCATACCACTTGGTATTTTGAGATACCCCATGTTTGAAGAAAATTACCCAATGTACCTAAAGTGAGCATAATAAGCTTATTAGCAATCAATCAAATATTAACCTTCTTCACTTGAATGTTGTTTATACTTAGCTTTGCCAATCTGGGGATTGTAATATCTCATGAGATTACCCATGGATTTGATCATCAAGGTAAGAAATGTTGGAGGTCAATAAATGTCAAGTTCGTCTGGCTTGTTATTAGAAAAGAAAGGAGAATCGAGGAGAATGAACGAGAATAATTACATAAATATTTCAATCAACTATAGAATCGTTTGAGTTTGATATGTTTGAATAAAAATTGCATAGGCAGACATTATGACCGTGACGGCAATTTCACTTCGAGTTGGTGGCCGGATGAGGTGATTTCTGCATTCAAAACACAAGCGATTTGCTTTGCTGATCAGTATGCAAAGTTTGAGATGCCCATGGTGAACACGAACGTGGATGGAAACGAAACATTGGCAGACAACGTGTGTGACAATTCTGCACTGAGAGTGGCATTTCTAGCCTATCAACTCTGGGTTCAAGACCATGGCGTTGAACCTTCTCTTCCAGGAGTGAACTTTACAATTCCGCAAATATTCTATATTTCATATGGACAGGTTAGTACGCAGCTTATTTGTAAGTAGAGACTGCAATGCCCCTCCTTAATTAATTACGCTTAATCCTAATTACGCGAGGCAGATTTGGTGTGAAGTACTCAATAAGGAAGGTTATGAGCAGTACGTCAGGGATACTCACTCCCCTGGACAATTCAGAACTTGGGGTGTTGTGCAAAATAATTTACACTTTCATGATATATTCAACTGCTCCAGCACAAGTTTCATGAATCCAAAGGAAAAATGTAGCCTCTGGTCGTAACTCGGTTTGCCCATACCATTCATGGATTTTCGGGTAAGTTTTAATGCCATTAGTTATGAAGGGGAGAGGACAATTTTAAGCAATGTCCATCTGTACTTTAATAAAGGAAACGTGGGACGATGAAGTTGCATTCACTATGTACAATGTATATTGTATACAAAAAACATGAAATTTCAATGCCAATATTCTCTCACAATGTCATGAAATACATGCGATCGTACGGCTGCAAGGGACAGATTACGCCTAACATCTTGTGAATCTTCTCAAATTTTGAAAATATCTCAGTGGAAAAACTATAGAGAAATAATCTCGAGCGTGGGAACTTTCTAAAATGATTCTAAACTACTAGTAGGGGATAACTGAGATGCCGAAACGAAGTATATATATAATCGTTGTTATATTTAAATTGAGCAACTACCTTTGATCATTGAGAGACAAATCGATGGACATTATGTAAAACTGATAGCTCGTATTATAAATGGAGAACTGCATGCGAAATAGATGAAGTATGGAATGAAACCCATTCACTTGGGCATGCAACGAGATTAAAAAGTTGTTTTAATTCTGTGAGGACAGTTCAATGAAAAATAGATAGATTTGCATCATGTACGGCAAATAATGATGGTAAGTAAGTAACAATGATACAATATGATAGCAAGTTTAAAAGTATTTGGAAATTTTACCTGATGACCTGAGCATTTTCCTAAAAGCTTTATAAATTAGTAGTTGAAATTAGTACATATGTATTATTATATTGTGATCCAAAGAGATCTTCCGGTATACTTAAGTACCATAACGCACAGGTTTGTGATATAATAATGTGACACTCAAAAATCACACTAATTACTACATGTAAAACATACATTGCAGACTTCATTTAGCCCGAGTCAGGGTCAGATTCGCTTCTGATTTTTTATTCAGATGATCTAACTATGAAAGTGCCACTATTATGAAATTAGGTATGTAAAACTCGGCAAAAATTGCCATACGCATGAGATAGTCTTCGTTATCATCACCTACTTTCCCAGCATGCAAAGTCTCAGGACCACTTTAAAGCCATGTGAATCACCCTGTCTAAATCAAATTCGTATTCTGTAAATACGAGATGCACTTGCACCTTCATGACAAATTTTAGCTAGTTCTAACCAATTTAAGAACCAGTGTGGGACCCTCTGACGGAAATATTTTTTAATTTGACTTTATATTCTTGTGAATGTGCACCTGCACCATCATGTCAAATTTCTACGACGGCTTTTCAATTTTGTGTCAATCTTCGGACTCATCCTACCGAAATACGATTTTTAAGTCAAAATCGGTCCAGTGGTTTGTCCGCTAGCATGTCACAGACGGACAGACAGACAGACAGGACGATCCCACAAACCTTGACTCGGGCTAAAAAATAGATTTATGCAAAAGATTATCTGGATTATATATCCAAGTGAAATGTTTAGAAATAGTGTAATATCTTTATCCAATAAAAAATATTCTCATGTCCTTCTTTATCTTACTACATAGTTGATGATTAATGATAAACAACCCAATGCATTTCTAGTCACATTTTAAATTCAAAAAATTATGAATGGTATTTTATGTGTGTTGATTGATTAAAACTCAATAAAATGGATTAAGTATTATTTCATGTATATTTATTTTGTATCGACTGTCAAAATTGAATTTCATTGACCAATGTCATACATATAACGTAATCATTCTTATAAAATTAGAAAATTGTACGCAGATATCACAATAAACTGGAGCACATATACAAATGAGATGAGCACGACTAATATCTCACCTTGCATATGTAATAATAATTGCCAAACAATTATAATATATGTTGATACATATATATAAATATTAATCAGTCATAATTAAACAACGAACAAAATAGTAAAAAAAACGGATCGATATTATGCAACTTGGCATAGTTTTGAACATTAATTTTACGGAGACACGAGAAACTGAGCTATAAAGTTAGCCAAGCCCAAGCTGAACAGGATGCCATGAAGGACAATGTTCTTCTTTGAGAGAGAGTTTAGATTTCTTTGCCAGACTAAATAGAGGGCAACTGGGAGAAAAAAGGAGTAGACGAGTCCGCAAGCCGCTCCGGTGAACCTAATGATAGTTCCAATCTGTGGCAACCAAATTGCAAAGCTTATGCAAATGCCCACAACAACCACATTACTTCCCAGAGTTTGCAAAATTGTTGGTTCCTGCTTCGTGATTGAGTACACAAGTTGTACTCGGAGGATGTACACCAGGAGTGGATAAACCGTTAGAATTTGAAAAAATAGGAAAATACGTGCTGCAAATGTCCAAGCATCAAAGGATCGGAAGTTGTTTAAAAAATTCTGGAAAAGATTCAACAAAAAATATGAAAAATCTAACTTTTTTCTAGTCTTTATCTACCTCTCATGACAGATTTAGGTAGGTTGAAATAATAGTAACTTTAAAAATTCGACTTACATCTTGAATGCAGGCTTTGTCCAATGGAAATATTATGTAAAAAAGTCCTCCAATGAGGAAGTAGGTTAATGCCACGAAGAGAAATGAGATGCCGAGGTCCCTTTTCTGAAGGAAAAAAAGTTATCTAGTAGTTAAGATGAAACTCAAAGCATGATAAATTTCTTGCCACTTGCTAAGCAAACAAATAAAAGGGACTTACATTATTTCTTTGATTCCTGTTGTTTCTCATTATTGTTGTTATACAATTGTGTATAAAATACGATAAACCAAGCAGACCACCCTAAAAATTGCAAACAGCGTACTGCTTATTTATTGGCACTAGTAGAGTTTGTAGTACTAATATTCTTGTACATGCACATTTATGATAAAACAAGAAATCTCAACTTACCAGTGCAGGGAAGTTGGGCTTGTACAAAGGTATATAAGAAGGACTATTAATATCAGAGAGAGAGATGTTTAATCCGTGTTTTCCAAGTTTTACAAACATGAATACCATGATATACACGATCGACAGCGTCCCTGCAAATAAAACATTATAGTAAAAATCTGCCAACTCTATTATGAATAAAAAAATTTAAATTTTTATTTACCTAAAGAATTAAATTTTGAAAAAAATGTTGGAGAACGAACACAAATTATTGGACCCAAAATAAGAATCAACAACAATGGGACGGTTCGGTGGAGATCCCAAATTTTATGAAACGTGTCCGTCTCATCCGCACCCTGAATCATCGTTACATTGTCCGGACAGTAAACTATAAATGCATTCCCATGCAAAAAAAAACAAACAAATTGTAAATTTTTGATTAATTTAATATTACGTTAAAAATAAAAAGCTCTCACTCTCTGATGCATTGCTAGAAAAAGAAGGCGAGTCCGACGTAATAGCCGAATGGAGAAAGTCAACCGTGTGATAAAGGAAATTACTCATAAGTACCCAATAAACAATTGTCGCTCCTAAAAGAGTCAGCACCGAAAATATTAACGCTAAAATTTGAGACCATCGTCCTAAAAGTCTTTTGCATAGAACTGTAAGTAACAACAAAAACTAATTAAAACAAGTAACAACAATAAATAATTAAAACGACTAACAAAATTGAATTATAACCAACCATTACCTGCAAAATCTTGAATTTTTGAACTTTCTATAAAATATTAAAATCAGGTTAAAATAAATAAATTCCGATTAATCAGGTAGATATATACATATACGCCATGTTTGAAGCCAACAAGTTACCATTGTTTTCGAATACTTCTAGAATTCTGTACGCCGTATAAAAACTTATAGCAGCCATTCCAATTAGCAACACGACGGCAGGTATTAGTCCAGCTCGTTCCATCTAATACAAAACGAAGACAATTAGCCACAATATTTACATCATTCATAGAATAGCACAAGATCCAGAATATTGGTATTAAAGTAACAAATTACCGCCCATGGCATGGAAAGCATACTAGTGCCTGTCATAGTGTTCCATACAGTGAAGATTGTCACTATTGAGTTCTGCTTCCCATCACTCGTTTTAAGAAAGGGGGGATAATAGAACCCAGGGGGCACAACATGTGGGGGGATCTACAAAGAAACAATGCAAAGTGTTTAACCATCCGCGAAAAAATTATGCTTGGACTGGGCGTATGTACGAATTGTATGTACACCAACCAACAATAATTCATTCCCTGGATCCAGAGTTTCTCTTCTCAAACGGCTATAAAATCTGCATAATAAACACTACTCTATAATATAGCACAATATAATTACTATACAATAAATATGATTATAAATTACAGATATCTGCTATAATTAGCCCTCTCCGACCAAGTGTCCATGCTATTGCTGTTAATGGCTGTACTCGTATTGACATCCTCCACTAATCCGTATGGACTGTAATAGTATGGACGTCTGAAATTCGTAAAATTGGCCAGAAATATAATTGGGATATTTTGTATTTATTATCAAGTACGGTCACATCGTTGTTTGTCATGTCGTACCGATTTTGACTCTGAGGTCGAGTGTTACTACTGATGAGATAATCCGTCTCCCTCTCCTCCCCCCGACGCTCTTGAACATCTTGCTGCTGTTGATCCATTATTAAAATTCGTAATTTCCTTTTGGCAAATGGTATTCCATCAAAAATGTGATCCGGTGGTACTATGTTGTGAAAGACTCCTTGACTCCTTGGTCAGTAGTTCCATAAAATACGTCACAAGTCTGTAATAAGAAGTTGAGCAAGACTGGTCTTGAATGGTGTCACACAAAACATGAATTTAAACTGGACAGAGCACTGCCGTACATATCAATCATCCCACTAGACCTTACCATTGGAAGTACACGCCTTTTACTTGAAACCATTACGATAAGTTATCAGTCGTCACGCAGTTAAAAAATATTGTGGTTGCTGAAGCATGTTTTTCACTTCTATTATGACTTTTATCCATGACTTTTTTTGGAACAAGGTTGGATGATCAAGAGGCTGGTTCATGATAAATATGAGATGTACATATGCAAAGCCTGCTTCACTTCCATTCATATGCATACGTAGATATATCATCTTATTCATCTTATTCAAGTCATTTCAAGTTCAGGGAAATAATATACAGGAAGAAATGTCAATCAATAGGTCACACTGTCTGTTTCTTAGAATATATACACTTAAGTATGTGTCTGATATTGTTTGTTTCCTCGAACGATTATTCGTCCTATGGACAAATATTTGCAACTTCTCAACTCGATTAGCTGTGACTATATTGCCTTAAATTAACCCCAGAAAAACATTTCCGATTTTGTCATTCATTAAGCCATCCTACATTGTACATTAAATACGTAGATTAAGTACAATACATAAATTGTAGTATATTGTAGAGTACAATAGATAAACAATAAAATCTCTATTTGTTTGCAATTTGCATTATTAACCTTTTAAAATATGAGAAGACTACATATTGATAAATTGTGAATTGAAATTTAACATATCAAAATCAAGAACCTCGATTCAAGATTGCATAAAAGTTCGTACACAAAATGAATGTCATCATGATTCAATTATTCAGTTCGTAATTCTTACCTCGGTTTCCAAAAAAAAAACGATTCGATTTTGATACGATAATAATTATCTTTTAAATTAAATAATTCAGTGCCACGTTCACAATGAAATTCAAGAAGAGGAGATACCAGCTGAGACACTGGTTGCGTAAACTTTTATGTTGCACTGACGATGATTGTTTTGTGTCAGAGAGAAAAGTTGTGTACGCAATTGTATGCACAAAAATTGAACGGCAATGAGTCATGTAAAATGGAATATTGTTTCATTCATAAACAAAATTGTGCTGTGCAGCCATAAAACCATCATAAAACAAACTCGAGTATGCAAACGATGTATTAACAAAGTACAGACTGAATTGAATCCCGTATATATGTACATAAATATGTATCTGTAATCTCATAATGGCTGTATACCGATGCATTGGTTGCTGAAAATCAATATTTACGTATGGCCACACCCCTTATGTAGGCTTAGAATTATTAGAATTGTTATTAGAATGCCTCAATTTTTTTAAATTTAAATAACCTTTAAATTCAAGGTTATGGTCTACGGGGTCAATATTTTGGCAGCTATTATTTCTTGACAGCACGATTTACATAAATACATACCTGTATCCTCCAAGCAGAAATTTGCGACTGGGCCAAATAGAGACGAGCACATGCAGTCAGACTTATACAGAACAATAATATTGTTCTGCTACTTGATAAAACATACGTATTGATTGTGTTTAAATTAAAATATCTAATACGCCCCCTGAAAGCACGCATGAGTTTCTGTTTTACATAGTGTAATATTTCAGTTCTTCACTGGTATGCGTTACCCATTCTGCCCAGAACCTTTTCATAGATGGTCCTAATCGGATGATGTGGAATAAAAAGTCTTGAATGTTGCATTTAATAATTGTTGCTAACCAAAATCAGAATGTAATACGGCATTTTGAAAATTGACATCCTCAAAATACAAAAAATCTCGTAAATACAATAATTATTTTTATGTTCTGATCGTTTCTTGAGGCGTATTGAACACTTTTGCTAACATAAAGTGAATGGTAGTTTTGCACAAACATCCTAAATACATACACTGACAATGGCTTCTTCCGCCAAGGCTGCTGGAAATGCAAACGCCAAGATGGGTCGTAAGACAGTCGAGGGTGGTTCCTCGAAGAAGGGGGCGACGACAATAGCAGAAGGCACGGTCGTCGTAGATGACAAAGGAGTAGCTACAACACAGAAACCGATGACTTTTCACCAAGATCAGGACGACGAAGATGTTCGGCGAGATGACACGTTGTACGAGGTTACGAGCCTTCAGGACTACATCAGCAGAAGGGTGGAACCTGAAGACATGTCTGAAATCAAGAGATTCTTGAGCAATGAAGACTATGAATTTTTCAAATTTGATGATCCAAACATTCTCTTGTAAAATTAGTCACAATAATATTTTCATGTTCACCATTTTCCTATAGAACAGCATAAATATCGAACTAAATATATTCTTCATGCAGTGAGAAATGCTGCTTCTCTATCGCAATCTCTGATGTGATCGAGTTGGACAGAATTGTTGCTGCAGCTTTCTTTGATGACAAACCTCTGGATCCGGATCTGAAGAAGTATTCCAAGGCATGGAAAAATACACCGGATTTACAGAAAATGATTCCTATCAACACATTGTACATGCATCTTTTCGTATGTGACTTACACGATGACAATTAGATTCGACTATATTAAGCTGTAGATGACTAAAAATATTTCGTGCTGTATAGGCAAAAAGTTCTGAAGTTCCTTCCGACATATTGATCACGGAGGTTGTAGCGTACACTTTTACAGCCTGCTCTTCCATTGAGTACATTATCGTAGAGTGTCCAAATCTTACTACGGAAGGACGTATGAAAAAATCGTTCAAAATATTTTATAGCATTTACTTGGAAATTTATTTGAGTTAACAGTTTTGCTTGTTTTATATGTAGCTTTCTCATTCTGTCCATTGGTGAAAAAACTTGAAATTAATCCCTCAGGTTTACGAAAAAAACTCATAATGATCTACGAGAAGGAGGCAATGTTCCCTTCTTTAAAGATTCGAGAAGGCCGGTAAAAGTTCCCCCATAATTTTAATTCAGATCATCATATTTGTGTATGTATTATAAACTAATACAAAATTAGCGAGAATGACTTGGATGACTTGGCCCCACTTTTGCCCATGTCGAATGAAACAATCATGAAAGAGTTTGGTAAAACCGTTTTGACTGACGTGATCGCATTATGTGACAAGAACAATCAGAGTGTAGTTGCAGAAGTAATTGAATAACATCCATATGTACAAAAATATATGAAAATGTAAACAGATGACAAGATAGATTAATAATCATGGTATTCCTATTATAGTGGAATTTTGAAGCGGTCGGAATCATATCTGTCAACACAGAAATTAACTACGAGCTACTCAACGGACTTTTTCATCTTGAAGCATTTCACGGTTTACACAAGCCCTACTTCAAAGATGAAGTCAATGTCACCTGCTATGACACAAAGTTTAAATCCCATAATTTGCATATAATGTTTGGATTATCAAATAAAGTTGCTTGTTCTTAATTAAGCTAATTGAAATTATCTATTAAAGAAACATTGCTGATGTCCCCATTGAAGAAATGATGGAAGAAGCTCGTCAAGCAATGGATAAACTGAGGGGAAGACACAGGAGACATCGACCCGAAGATCCTCTCCCATACACCGTCGAAGCTCAGAGAGAGGAATGTCTCGCCGAATATGAGTCTGATGAATCGAATCAAGTCAAATCTGACGAAATGCACCGTCAAGGTCATCAATTTGGGACAAGTGTGTCTGATGATATAATTCAATACGGACTTCGATCACCAAGTCCGGTGAATACACTGACAGAGCAACAACTGCTGACGGCTCGTATGGAAAATATCAAGAACATCACCGAGAAACTTCGAAGAGGGACGACTGAAGGAACGGCTGAGATGCCGGATGCGGAGGGGGAGGAAGAGGACGAAAAATCATCCGAGGACTACAATCGACCCAGCGTCGACGTCCTCAGAGAAGACACTCTGAGGAAAGGAGGGAAACGTCCTACGAGAGACGAAAAATTTGATCCTCAAGCATTAAATTTGTTGGACTTTCTTGATGAATTCATGGTGGATGTTGAGGTTGATGATGAGCAAGAAGAGGAACACGAGGAAGACGTTGAGTTTATTGCGGAGCCAAAAGATCTGGCCGGAAGTGACGAGTCGGAGAATGACGACGACTCGCCATCTGAAACACCGTAAGCAGAAAATCTAACTCATTATTTCCACCCTATAAAAATATTCACATTATTTATGTTTAAATAATTATTTATGTTTTTACCATTTTATAAAATTGCTCGTATAGAAATAGTTCCAGTGAAACTAATTCAGGGACGAAGACGGAATCTTCATCTCCACAAGACGCTCAAAAAACAAGTCCATTAATGCCAAATGCTGAAAATCAGATTGTCGAGGATCCTGGGGAGGGTGGGGACGAAGAGCAGAAATCGTACGAGGATGGCGACGAAGGTGTGGAAACTGACCTCACAGAACGCACTGAGATTTCCGACCAGACAATGGTGTCAGTCATTGAGGATGAGCCACATAAAGCTAAAAAGGTTTCTTCGGGGGTGACCCATGAGAAAAAGACGGGCAAGTCACGACTGTGGCAAAGTCACAGTCATCATCAAGGAGGAGGTGGGGGCAAAAGCTATGCAGCTTCCATGGCTCCTGGGCTAATGGGGCCACTCCTCCAGACCAGCCATACCATTGCCTTCTTTCAACACAAGTCGGAATTCCAACGGAGGTGGTCGGATGACACCATTTACCTTGGAAGAACAGGCCCTGATAGGTCCGCCATCATTCTCTAGCAGTCATTTGTAATGAGAAGTTATCGTATAAACAAATCTGTAACTTTTAAAGGTCATTCTCATTCGAGGAAAAAATTGAACTGATGAAAAAAGTTTGGGAAGTGTACTCGTACATGAAACAGGAAGGGCTCACATTTGAAGCTGTAAAATTTTATCTTTCTCCGGCTGAACTCTGTGCTATTGAAGATGCAGACATTCTGACGAAGGGGAACTTATTGAAATTTCTTACGTTGCTGCTGCCAGATGAGAAATTGTATCCTTTTGAGCGTTACGTAAAACCTAAAGTTCCCAAATACTACGGTCTTCCAAATGCTCTTGCCATCAAGATTTTCAACGTTGAGAAAAAATTCACATTACGGTAAACACATAACACGTTAAAATTCTTCCCAAATAATGAGAACGTCGTAAATGATTTTTATCAGATCTACTGAATTGTTTCGCGAGATTTTTCGATTCTTTCCTAACCGTGAATATCTGATTATTACCATTCCTCAAGGCGCAAAGGAGCCAGCTTGGTTGGAACATTTCGTGGTTGGGAATTTTATATTTTAATTTCTTCATTAAATGTTCTGAAACGTGTACATATTGATACATATTGTCTAAATTTTACATGTTTTGTATGTGCTCTTACGATGTAGAGAGTGGTACCCAGAATTGACTGCAGTTATCCCAACGAACTCTTTGTTGCACACAAGGCCTATTTCACCAACAAATTGAAAGTTCGGCGTGCCAGAGTGACCGACATTCAATCAGTGATTCGACTTTTAGAAACATTGAAACAGAAAGTTCAAATTCTAAACGATTTTAAGAAAGCAGTTTGTTGCAAGGAATACAATGCCTTCGTGGTGGAAGTGGTGAATCATGCAAACACTCCCATCGTTGGACTTGCAATTGCGAGGTATCAATCAATAAATTGGACATTATGGTTGTAATTAAGAACTCCAAAATAAGTGCCGATTTTTATTTTCGTAGCAGTGATATGGAACCCCAAACTTATGACATCAATTACCAGCTAAACAAGCACACGTATTACGTGATGCATTCCCCCATGGACCACGCCTACATGCACCATTTAATAATGTACCCAATCTTCCAACCCTTTGCACGAACTTTCATCAAAGAGGTGATGAGAATCATGAGCAAAACTTGCTTCTTCCAGAAGATATATCCTCAGTTTTGTTCGAATGAGGTAGCGACACAATGCAAAGTTCTATTTGTACACTCGTGTAATGCATTAGGCAATTTTCAAGACTACGCTTTTAAAATTTCCGTAACTCTCAATATATTTTGCAATATGATAACTATTCAGACGACACTTCAGAATAATTTCAAGAACTAAACTCAGGAGGGGAGCTTGCGAGTTTGATAATAACAGATCTCGATGCCCTTTGGATATGTGATAGGGTCCTATGAGTGTACTAAAACCCTGAAGTGGTTTGACTCCATGGCCACATTTGCGCCCGCCACACCCACTCAAAAATGCCCAAAAAACGCTTTCACTCCAGTTTTCACTCACTCAAATCCACGCCAGAAATCCAATTTTACTCGGATTTTGAAATTTCTTTCACCATTACGCTCCCAGATAGTTGCTTTCTTCAATTCCATATCAAACTCAATTTTGCTGATGATTATTTCGCAGGCGTAATTTGAGTTGTTGATTACTACAACAATCCTCATTCAGAATTTCAAATTTTAAAAATACTAAAAATTTCGAAAAAATTGGGTTTGATATTGGATTGAAGAAAGCAACTATCTGGGAGTGTAATGATGAAAGAAATTTCAAAATCCGAGTAAAATTGGATTTTTGACGTGGATTTGAGTGAGTGAAAACTGGAGTGGAAGCGTTTTTTGGGCATTTTTGAGTGGGTGTGGCGGGCGCAAATGTGGCCATGGAGTCAAACCACTTCAGGGTTTTAGTACACTCATGAGACCCTATCACATATCCAAAGGGCATCAAGATCTGTTATTATCAACCTCGCAAGCTCCCCTCCTCAGGAGATACTGAGGATGAGAGTTACAGAGATTTGAAAAACGTAGCCCTGCAAAGTGCCTAATATTATATAATAATTGCATAAATGTTGGGATTAATTCAGACAACAGCCCATCAATCTTTGCTGAATAATATGGATAGCTGGATACCAGTCCTGCCACGAAAACGGATTCACTACAATTTCTTAAATCTTAGCACTGATTCTTACGACTTGGAACGTCTGCCACCTCCATACGCCACAGATTATCAGGACCCATTTGCCGTCATTTATTTCGGGAAGAAATTTTCATACGACCAGAAAATTAATTTGAATTCTAGGATTGTTTTTGTGGGCGCATCAGAAACTACTTTGTCCTGTATCGAGAAACTGATTTGCTCGAGTTACAGGGCGTACAAACGACTGACGATAATAGATCAATTCGGATTGCCAGGTTGGGACAATGACTTTATGGGATTAGTAAAATAATGCAGTAATCAAACTTCTGAACAGGACAACTCCCACCAAATGTATCCCGTGATGAATTATTTACGTTGAACAAGGGAGGAACAAGCACTTCGTTCAGAAACATTTCCGAATGGGTACAACGACTCGGCATGTCGCACTGGGCAAACATTGTTATTGGCACCGTGACACGAATTAATAGGTAATAATTCCTCATACGTATATTCATTAATACCCCATACATGTAACCCCCAAAACTGGAAAAAATCAAAGTCTGTTTATTGGGATGTAACAGGGAGAGAAAGTACATTGTGGTCAACAATGACAGAATCGTTCCTTATGACATCTTGGTTCTGGCACCTGGTCGTCAGTTTCAAAGGATTGATTGTCCCGAGCCTGAAATCGACGACCCAAACTTTCTCGCCTTCAAAAAGAAATCACAACGCCACAAAATGCAAGGAGAAACTAATCTCGTATTCAAGTAAGAACCAATATGTTCAGTGTTTCCTATTCCTATTTAAAAACCCACAGTGTGTAGTGTTGATTTGGCCTGGGTCAGAGTCCACTTATAAATTTTTGCCAGTAGATTACCACTATTCAAAAATTTTCCGATAATCAAAAATTTCAGTTTTTTCAAATAATTTCAAAAATCACTCGGTTCTATCCATCTAGCATAAAAAATCTTAGAATTTACTTCATATTTATGAGTTAAACCAGAGTTATCGCAGACTGGACAGACGGTTCCATTATGGAACTTCCATAGCCTGACTCGGGCCAAAAAGCGGATAGATTCATCGAAATTTTTTATCTATTTATTTCACATAGAAAAGAAACACCAAAACCTAAAAACGTGTTTACGGTGAACACCGAAGTTGAAGGAGAGATTGCTCTTAAATTTATCAAAAACTACATTCCGTTTATGAAGAGAAGTATGTCGATTTGTCATTTATCTCAAATGAGATAACAGTGCTTAACGACTCGTTTACTGTTTTTTATTAGAGAAAATTTTGATATTTGGAGCTGGGCTGAGATGTTTTGCGTGCATAAAATCCCTTCTTCTAGCGGGTGTAACGGCCAACCGAATTGTGATTATTGACACACCCAATTTTGAGGTGGAATGGGAAGCCAAGGCAGGATACAACATGACCAACACTGTGAGCAATATAAGCACAACTCGGGCATAAGGTGCACCAAAAATTGCCATATTCTTATTCATAAACACTAATAACGTCACAGGTGCGAATACCCATGGAACAAGAACTAAAAAGGCTTGGAGTCTACTGGGTACAAAATTATGAATTTAGCGACTGGGAAACTTGTCCCATTTCCGGCTTAGTGAAACGGTCCTACTTTTCTTCACCTACCGAGAAAGAGTCCAAAATCTCATTTTCGACATTTGCGTTCTTCTGTTTCCGACACAGAAGGGTTAACGATGATCTTGTTTCCGGTGTGCTATTAGATATAAATCAGAATCTTTCATGTCATACCATAAAAATGGTGAAAGAGTTATTTAATTCCCTGAATATATGTAGCTTTAGCGGAATCATATATTCTTTTCCAAGACGGAATAATCATTGATGAAAATTTCAAGACAAATGATCCAAATATTTATGCGGCTGGTCCAGCTACGACCTACAAACGAATTTTACTCGCAAGCCATCATGACCACATGTATTACCAATCTGAGGAAGTTGGACACAAGGTACATATGTAGATTCAAATATTGAATGAAAATTTAGAAACTAATTCGAAGTTATATACAATATTTATATGCATGATTCTTGTTGTTGGTTGGATTACCAGCTTGCAGAGTTCCTTATTAGCAGAGTTGGATCCGAAGGAGGTGGGGTTGCCGAAATACAAACTTTAGAAGTTTTCAAATTTAAACGACCATTTGTTCGAGCAATTGAACTACTTGGGGGCTGGCATTACATGGTAATGAGATCTCCTGGTGCTCCCCATCACACCCGATGGCTAGATTCAAATGGAAAATGTGAGGAAACCTGTGAATGCACCACAGAAATTGTTACTGGATCTGTAGACCCGAAAGAGGACCCACACCAAAAGTACTTCAAGGTTCAGCTGGATGACCAATCCCGGATTGTAGGAATTGAATGCATGTCAAAAAGAGTAACTTACAGATAATGATAACAGTACAGCTTTGGGAGCTTACTGTCAACTGTAGTATAACAATAAGTACCAATCATTGAATATAAATTATTTCACAGCCATTTTCTGCCTCAAATTTCACGGGATTGTATGGGCAGCACGAAGTGTTGCTAAACAAAATGATGGAAAGACTAGAAAAGGGCGAAACCAAGGATTTGTATGACCATTTTTGTCAACCCTGGTTTGGAGCATTTTGCGTTGATCAATGGGAGACGTTTCTCTTGGAGCTTCAAGAGCTGTATCGGACTCAAGTAAAAATATTTAATTGCAATTTTATTGCTCAAAATATTTCTCATGAAATAAACAATTTAACGATATGTCCATTAAAGGATATTGAAGATGGTCACAAGATTGCCGACTTTATTCGTGACTATGTGGCAAACTTGGATAACCCTGAATCGGTTTGTTTGATGCACATTTTACGATTGTCGTCGTAAATTAATTAACTCTGATTTACCAATTAATTGACTGACTGATTTTAATTTAAAGATTCAAGTGGATCCCAACATTATCCGTAATATATGGGATAGTTCTGGCTTGAAACAAGAAGTAGAGCTTAAATTTTTGGCTTTCCTGAAATTCAACAAGCTTGCATTGCCCATGTATGCTAGAAATGACTACGTTGAAGATTTACTGGAGGAAAGATCTTCAAGCACTCTGTACTACCCAAAAGTGGTGAAATACTAACATTAATATATAAAGAGGTCTTATATACTATTAATATTGTAATCATTAACTATATCGATGTCTGGTGACCAAGTAAATAAATAAGCACATAAATAGCACGAGGCTTAAGGTGGTTATATCTCAAATAAATGTTATTACGACATAATAACATAAATATTAACTTTCGTGCAGAGGTTATCATGCAATTAACTGCTTCGTTTAATATACGAATATGGAGACGACTGTAATATGAGAAATGACACTTTTGCCATCAGTGTCATTTAGCCATTCCTTCAGTGAGATTGTTGATAATTTTGCGCGCAGACAATTTACTTATTTTTTGGCAAAATGTCACCAAAATTCCTGGACCAGTTATCCAAGGGGATTCCACTTGAACCGTTACCACCGCCAGGAACCCGTAATCCCAACGTACCTCACGCCCCCGTCCGAAAAGTCCCACTCACACCCAACGAACATGAAATCGCCATCAACAACGCCTTGCGCTATTTCCCAATCAAATATCATGAACTCTTACGAGCCGAATTCAAAGAAGAGTTGCAAAATTATGGACACATGTTAGTACTTTTTTTTAAATTTTTCTTGTCCATAAGAATCTCAGGTCTGCATCAAATAACTATTTGGGCCATTTGTATAAAAATTTCAGCTACATGTACCGGTTCACGCCACAATTTTCGATTAAAGCATACCCAATTGAAGACTATCCAGCAAAAACACTAGAAGCGAGAGCAATAATGCTAATGATTTCAAACAATTTGGATGCAGCTGTGGTAATGCCTTATAATTAGTTACCTGTTAAGCAGTAGTTCATTGACGATAGTCATATCTGTTCTTACTGTGAAGGCACAATTTCCACAAGAATTGGTCACGTATGGAGGAAATGGACAGACGCTGTCCAACTGGGCGCAGGTAGGCTTTTTAATTGCTTGTTGCTATTAAATAATTAAGGTGCTTAAAAGAATTAGAATATGCCGATATCTGTATAGTTTTGGCTGGTTATGAAATATCTTTGTGAGATGGACGAGACCCAAGTTCTGGTCATGTATTCTGGCCATCCTATGGGGTACTACAACTAATTTATTTTTGTATATAGTCAACAAATTTAGTAGTAGAATGAATTTCGTATTATTTACCTTCTATCTTCAGGTTGTTCCCTGCAAGACCTGGTGGACCACGAGTGGTAATCACTAATGGGATGATGGTCCCCAACTATTCAAACCCAGGAGATTACGACAAATATTTTTCAATGGGGGTATTGATTGCCCAATAAAACGTATAGTTTAGTTATTAATAAATTAAAATTGTATTTTATTAACAGGTCACCATGTACGGACAAATGACTGCTGGTATTGCATATTCATCATATGCAAATTATTTATTAAGTAGTGCATATTGTTTATCATATATATGATGTCTTTGTAGGGTCATATTGCTACATCGGCCCTCAAGGAATTGTGCATGGAACTACGGTGAGTGAGATGGCAAATACTGATCAATCTGACTGGATCGTTATAATTTTTTTTACTTATTTTGAGATAGATTACACTTTTGAATGCTGGGAGAAAGTACTTGAATTCAAGTTCGCTTAAAGGAAAAGTTTACGTTACGTCAGGATTAGGAGGCAATCATAATTTATTAATAATGCGTTTAATTTTCAGTAATAGATCAATTATAAAATGACTTTATTATTTCAAATAGGCATGTCTGGTGCACAAGCAAAGGCTGCAGTAATAGCGGGATGCGTGGGTGTAATTGCGGAAGTAAAATTTTAACTTTATTTTCTGAATGATGTCTATTTTTTTACATTTGTGCATTTTAATTTTAATTTTAATTTTAAAATCTTTACCAGGTCAGTTTGGCTGCCTTGAAGAAGCGTCATGAACAAGGGTGGCTACAGGAAGTAGCCAAGGACTTGGACTCGCTGATTGAGCGAATCAAAGAAGCGAAAATAAATGGCGAAGTTACGAGCATTGGCTATCACGGAAATATTGTAGACCTTTGGGAACGGCTGGCACAGGAATATGAAAAAACTCAGCAGAAATTAGTGGATTTGGGAAGGTTAGAATATTCGCATTTATTACTGGTAATATTCAAAGTTAATGTAGTAATTAATTTAATTTCAGTGATCAAACATCCCTGCATGACCCATACAATGGTTCTTACAATAAAGCATAGTTGTAATTACATTATAATCACATCGTACCCAATAACTGGCATTTTTTTGCGTCAATAGGTGGCTATTACCCAGTCTCGCTTACTTATGATGAGTCTCAAAAGGTTTGCTTTATTGTCCATTGTGATTGTCCAGCTTGAGTTCAACTTTCGTTTAACCATTAATTTTACAATTAGTTAATGGTTTCGGACCCACCAAAGTTCAAGTATTATGTTCAATTGAGTCTTAGACGTCAGATTGTAGCAATCAACACGCTGGTGGAGAAAACGGGCATGAAGTTTTGGGATTATGGGAATGCTTTCCTCTTAGGTAAACTAGATTAAAAGTTTAATAGGATAACAATTTATTTCATACAAAATACATGAGAATTGAAAAGGTTTTGATTTGCATAAGTGGCATGAGTCAAACGTATGCATATGTAAATAAATTATAATTAAGTCTTAATGATTTTATTGCATGGTTGGAACCTATGCAATTTTGCAGAAGCGAAGAGAGCTGGTAAGAAGGAGACGCATAAAACCAATTTTCTAAAAAATACTTTTACCTTCACCAGCAATAATAACTTGTAAATAATATTTAATAACAGGAGCACCAGTCGAACATCCGGACGATACTTCAAGATTCATTTACCCGTCTTACGTGGAGGATATCATGGGGTATGCGTTATTTAGAAGTACACCAAAGCTCAATAATACAAATAAGCTATATTTTTCTTACAGGGACATATTTTCTTTAGGATTTGGTCCTTTTCGTTGGGTATTACTTTTACATGGTCACACTCTAATCAGGAAGAGCTGTGACAATGGATATGCATGCTAGCAAAATAATGCATGATAGCAATTCTGTTTTTGACAGGTATGCTGTTCGGGCTTGCCAGAAGATTTGGAAAAAACTGACCAGGCGGCCGCTGATGTTTTTCTAGAACTTCTTCAAGGTCATACAAGTTTTAAATAGTTCAAACAAGCACAGCTAGTTTAGAACCAATCGGAGTCATTAAAATTGTCAGTATCATAATTTTTTCCAATCAGATAAAGAACTGGATCCTGACGTGAACGTGCAGTACCAAGAAAATCTTAAATGGGTCCAGGAAGCTGGAAGGCATAACTTGGTAGTAGGGTCGCAGGCCCGAATTCTCTATAATGATTGCGCAGGACGAAGTAAGCTGGCGACGAGATTTAACGAGTAAATTATTCAATTTGCGTAATAACACGAACGCCTTATATATTGAACTATAAGTCGCATAATTTAATTACTTTTTGTTAAATTCTAGACTTATTAAATCGGGAGAATTGAAGGTCTTACCAATATCAAGTTGTTAATTATGATTGCAGAGTTTTATACATATGATGCAATGATTCAGGGGCCAGTGGTTCTGAGTCGAGATCATCATGACGTATCTGGAGCCGACAGTCCTTTCCGTGAGACGTCAAATGTAACGGACGGGTCCAAGTTTACTGCTGATATGGCTGTCCAAAATTTCATTGGGGATGGGATTAGGGGTAAACTATCATATAGATTATATAGTCGTCGTATCTTCAAGTTTTGTACACACAGGACAAGTTTTTTATCAGGAATAACAATATGGATATTTAATAGGAGCAACGTGGGTGGCAATTCACAATGGTGGAGGAGTCGGATGGTAACTAATATATGGAGAGCTGAAGGGGGAAACATTATAATTATTATTTAAATTATTCCAGGGGAGAGGTTATGAACGGTGGTTTTGGTTTGGTTCTTAATGGCGAAAATTCCGCAACGGCTCAAAGCTTATTACTGTGGGATGTGAATAATGGAATTGCAAGACGGTATAATAAGGACACCAACCAATATATGCAGCATGTATGTTAAATGTATAAATTTTTAATTTTTTCCCAGAGCATGGGCTGGTAACAAATTCGCTGTCAAAGCGATACGCAAGGAAATGGAGAGGACTCCAGGATTAAAAGTTACTTTACCACCTTAACCTAATGAACAATATGTCTTGAATTACTTTCATAGCAGATGGCAAGTAATTATTGTCATAATCATAAATACCTATATTTTCCATATGTCAATACTGTTAGTCAAATAGTAAATCACACTTGTTACACAGACAAAAAGCAAAAACTCAAAAAATGTTCAAATACAAATGTAAATTAAATAAACTACCTGCATTGCATATGATTAATTGTGACTAAAGAAAGATTACATTGCTAAAGGTTGAACGAAGTAAATATCATAATAAACAGAGTACATAATTTCTGGATTAAGATTTTTTTATAAGGCCATAGTCTTCAGCTTTTCGAAGAGCTTCATTGCATCGCTGTTTAATATCTGCTTTGTTCTTGACATCTTCCTTGCTCAACTCTTTGGGAGGCTCAATATCTCCTTGTCGAGATAAAACCATGATTAACTGGTATGCAAACAGAAGTTAAAGGCAAATTAGAATTTGACCAGAAGTTTACATTGATAATTAATAAAAATACACATAAAAATTATTATGTACCTCAAACAACGGAGAACCCACAATCCTCTCGGCAAGATCCTTGTCTTGCTTAATTATGTTGAGCACGATTGTCACTCCTCTTAGTTGGAACTCAAGCATTGGATTTGCAACGAGCCACATCAATATGCTAAACGGATCTTTGACATCCGATAACACTCTCCCACATACTTTACGACTTTGTGAAGTTAATATGGCCAGTACAGATGCAGCTGCTTTCATAGTATCAATTTCATCCGTGTCCTCCATTCCAAGATCGTCTGACGGGGCGCATAATAATACCATAAACTTGACACGTTCGTTTTCACCTTCATAAGCCTGTCATAAAAAATACAGCTTTTACTGCATACCTATTCATTACATATCATCAGACCCTTTAAATGAATAGGACTAATCCTAAGTATCGCCGCTATACCTTTACACATTCCTCGGACAATGCTAAATTGCACATGCATTGAACTGCAGCCATACGTAGCTTTGTATGTTTTTCATACGCGTAGTGTTCAATCATCATGAATCCTTTCTCATCAAAAATTCTTCGTCGACAAGACTCTGACTCTCCTAAACAAATGTATACAATATACGTATATGTACATATATATAACCGCTGTATTAGCGGAAAAAAATTATACCTGCGATATTACAAAGTGCCAAGAGAGCTTCAAAATTTTCGAGTCCACTTCTTTCCATGTCAAGAAGATAGAGCAATGGCTTCACGGCTGCGAAATATGAAGTAGATACATAGAGTAACGAATTGGACAATAGATAAGAGCATGGCATGCAATAGAGTGGGGACAAAGATTACAAACTTCAAACTTCAAACAAGTTCTATTTCTTTTTTTTGCCGTCGGTTTGGCTAAAAATCTAATTCTCTCCTTCAGCGAGTAATGTAAAGTTTTAAAACTAAAACACAGAATACAATTTGTATACCTTCATATGTCCTTTGGCCAGGAAAGGCAATTGAAGGAGCAGTGGTAACTCCGATTCGAGCTAAAGCTTGAGCAGAATTAGATTTACCTGGTACAAACATGATAAAAATAAATGGTTTAATTTATAGTAGCAAGCAATTTGGCACATTTTTAACTAACTATACATACCTTGTGGATTTGATTTCTCAAATATTCTAATTAATTCTCGGGCCCCACCATGAGCTACAACCATGCCTCTTAGCTCTTTTCTTTCACAAATAGCGTTTAGAATTCTAGAAATTAGCTCCAACACGCTAGCAGATTCGGTGGCCTTTGCTAAGTTCACCAAACAATTTGTAACTCCAATCTTAGCCAGCACCTATTAGAAAAAAACATTTTCATCTTATATCAAAGTTAAATCTTACAAAGTTAAATAGTCAAAAAAAAAATATATACATACTTCGACTCTATTAACCACGAAATCTGGATCATCAAACTCGTGTTCTTCTGGGACATGGTGCTTGGCTGTACGATAAAACAATATGCCCTATTACACACATTATTTATTTCGTGTATCATAGTTTATCCAAACATTGTTAATTGTTACTCAAACTAATTTTCAGTAGTTGACTCTCATTTTATGGGATTATAAAAAATACAAAAAAATAAACTTACCAAACTTTGCCAATTCCAGCATTTCTGGATCAATTTCTTTTTTATCGTACGCATTGCATAAATTCACAAGCGTCATAATAATTGGGTAGACAATTTCTGATAATTTCTCGGCCTTGAGTTAATGAAAAGAACCAGATATGAATAAGTTCTGGCTTAAATTCTGCCTATTTTCAGTCTTATAAATAAATAGTTTTGACATATTAGCATACATGACTAGAAATTTCCAACATTGTTTTTAGCGCCGGTAAGTCCTGTAATATTTATACACGAATCGATTTATACAGGTTTGTTGTTTGGTAAGTAATAATTTTTCTTAAGTACCTCAATCAACTTTTCTTTAACTTCTCCATCTAGAGTCAAATACGATAATCCTTCGACGGCCCATCTTTGGACAGAAACGTCTTTAGCAGGATTCAGCAAGAATCGCCGACAAGCTTCAGCCAATTTTAGAGTTGACCCTACGTAAGAATTATTCACATAAAAGCTATAAATTTATGAGCAGTTAATGTAGCTACATATTAATTGTATCGATAGCATTGGAGAATCATAACTTGATAATAAAGACATTTAATAATAGATAAACATTGTATTGTACTACCATCTTGAAAAGGTCTCCATGAAGCATCAGTGCCGCTGGAGCTGCCCAGCTTACACAATCCAACCAACGCACGCACTTTTATCTCGTCATTCTTCGATTGGTATAACCGCTGTATAATCAACAAATCAATAAATTATTATTTCATTTATTTCAAGCATGGCAAATAAATAACGTATGCTTTTTTTCAAAGCAGCAGACAAACATTGAGGTCATGGAATATGTGTAATATGATGATAAAGAGAAAGCAATTCAGGTCAAATGGGATGAGATTGTAGAGATTGGTGCACAAATTTGATTAAATTTGATTTAAAGATTAGAGTTACTGTTTAGAATTTAGAGTTTTACATTGCAATATTAACAGTATTATTCTTGTACAAATTGGTTTGTTATGCATTTGTGTGCATGAGTTTTGTCTAAAATTTCTCACCTTTAAAATATTTATTCCATCATTAATAATGCTCTTCGCTTTGTCCTTTTTAGAGGCCGCAGCGACAATAGCTTCAGTAGCCACACGCTGCAAAGATAGGAACATAATTTTATGTATATTTCGAGTACTGCAACGACGAATTATTGTTGGGTGGGTCACATTTTAATAACGTTGCATAATGTTCGCGCGTACCTGCTCCAGATAGGTCTCTGAATTTGCCATCACCAAAGTCATCTGAATAACCCCTTGGCGCCCAATAAACGTATTACCAACATCAACAGGTCCATTTAAAAGCACGGTTATTAGTGCAATTACGCGGACTTTGGAATCCATATCTGGAGATATCAGGAGTTCTCTGTAATTAAGGAAGCAATACATACATTACCTGATGCACGTCCAGATAGGAGTATACACAAACATAATACTTTGATTAAGATTAAAACTTACTTTAAGAAATCATCAATTTCAGCAACATATGTTTCCCTTGCCTTATCGTAATACATGTTATTATAGATTCTTGTCATGAGGACAGATAAAAGACCTCTCGTGTTTGGGGTAATAGTCATGGCAGATTCAATTTTAAGTTCTGGAACTTCAGCACCAATGTCCGCAAGTTTTTGTAAACCATGAATCTCAACAAATTTATCTGCCCAGTTAAGATTTACATAATCTACAAAATAACATTGTATTACCAACAATAATACACAATTTCGTCCATACATACAAAAATATGTAAATCTTTATACCAATATTTTTTGTAAAAATCTGGAGTATCATGTCTCTAGCTTCGCCTGTGATCGATCTACTATTTAGAGACATTGTCATCGTAGTGAGAAGCGAGTCAATTATTGACTTGTTGATCTTTAGGCATTCAGGGTCAGGCTTTTCTCCTTTTTTACTTCCAGAAAGACTGTTAAGAATCGACTGCCACAAGTATTGAACTGCAGAAAGTGCTTCTTCCGCCAAAACCGCATCACCGCTGAAGCCGTATGTAATGTCTTGCAAATTCATGACAAATGGAACGCCAAGCTCTTTTCCCAAATGCAGGCACTAAATAATATGGAAAATTGAATACTTAGTCTGCTACTAGTGATAGTAGTTAGTTGAAAAGGCAAACCCACCGTTTTCATGTCAAATTGTACAAGTTGTGACAAGGATCGCACAGCCAAAATTTTCCATTTTAATTCTTTCTTGGATGGGCGTTTGATTTCCAAGAGACTTTTAATTTTTCTTAATAACCCCACTTCTAGCAATGCTTCAACCCCAGCCCTTTCTCTAGCCAACACGATTATGTTATTCAGCGCAGTTTCAATGTCTTCATCGCTCAAGTTTGGTTCCTCTCCAAACGCTCGACGAATCATTCGAATAGCTTTGTCTCTCGTTTGAGATGATTGTTGTCGTCGCTGTTCTACGATGGGTAGCAGTTTGGACAGTAAAGGTTTAAACGTAGCTGCGTCTGGAGGAGATGAAACAAGAGCCTATTGGATTTAAGAAAAATATTTTAGATTTTCTTAATGGAACTGAAATGGAAGTTTATATATTAATTACCCTTTGAGCATCTCTATACGCCTCTTCATATCTCTCCAGAGCTTCCAAAGCACAAGCTCGACGATACAGGGCTTTTGCATCTTGAGGTTTTAACTCCAATGCTAATTTATACACAAATGACAAACCAAGTGAACAAAAATATCCCTAAAATCGTTTTCATAACTCATTGAACCCTGCATACCCAGATCACAATGCTTAATAGCCTCATCGAATTCTTTCAATTTTAGGTGACTTGCTGCAGCGTTTTTGTGCAAGACACAAGTCAAATTGTCATCCTTACATTTCCCGAGAGCCTGCAATCGGTGAACATTCATGCAAAATGAATGTTCGCTGTATATTGAATTTGAGTCTTTGATAATCTTACCGAATTGCATAGCTTAATCGCTTGCTCATGATCCCCTGACTTGAAAAATTCGTTGGCTTCTTCTTTAATTTTAATTATTTCTTCAACCATTGTTCCAGATTTCTCGTCCTAATGGTTCAAAACGATGAATTATTTATAACGTCTTTACTTCCATCTAAAATATATCTTTACTTACGGACAGATTAATCATTTAAAGGCGTTAAATTTGGAACTAACCTTCATGCTTGTGTGCAGAATCCTTAATTTTGGGCGAAATATCTTAAATATTACAAATTTTATTTAGCAAACAAATGAATTTAATCCTAATTTTGATTTTTTTTGCTGGTGAGTGAAATTTACAAATATCATCTGAATTAATAATTGCTTACCACACCGCTTTCCTCCCTACGACTGCAGTTCCAGCAGCAACTCAGCCAGCAAACTGGTCACTAATTAGATTGCATGCACGGACAGAAGAACATTTTAAAACTTCAAATCCACTAGAAACACCGAGAAAAGTCCAGAAGATTCTGCAACAGCTTCCAAATTACATGTTTGTGAGCGGCACATGTACTCCCCGGTTTGTTTGTACACCATGCAGTTCTAAAATTGGAATTGGAACGAAAATAATCCGAAAAAGAGCTCGGAAATCCGGCCGTGTTTATGATTTTATTTCGGTCGGCAGTTTCGATATACCCCGAAAAGTTCAAAGCTTGCGGGTTCATAATCCCCGTCAAAAAATAAAACAGCAGAAAAAAGTGAATTTCATTCTCCGACAGCTCATTCCGTCAGCCGTTTCCGTTTTTAAAGAATTCCAGATTTATTCAACAATTCTAAGAGTTCGAGACGTAAGCGTCGCATCATTTGTCTGACTTGACCACAATGTCCAACCACAAGGATGTTTCTGACGACGAGGAATTTTCCACCTTATTGGCCTCTGCAGGTAAAATCCGTTGTCAATATTCAATAGTAATTAGTAGTCCGTTATCTATTTATTCAGTTATCGTGTAAGAATAAGTGTACGAACAATAATTCATTCAAGTTGAGCAAACATGAATGAACATTGGCTCATTTCGGAAATGAATCAATGACCCAACAACATGATACAAAATTTATTTTTTATTGTTATGTTTTAGGGAACAAGTTGGTCGTTGTCGACTACAATGCTACTTGGTGTGGGCCGTGCAAAGCCATGCACCCTGTCTTCATCCAACTCTCCCATAAGTTTCCTGAAGCTCTCTTCCTTGGGGTATAAATTTTTCCATATTTATTTATCTTTAATTTATTACTAGTTTAATGTTTTTTGTTAATTTTGTTTTTATTTGTTTGCTGTTTCTATAAAAAAGGTTGATGTCGACCGGTGTCGAGAAACAGCTATGGCACAAGGAATTTCTGCGATGCCTACGTTTATATTTTATAGGCATCAGCAAAAGCTAGATTCGGTTCGAGTGAGTTACTAATCTATTTCACAAAAAAATTTCTATTATGGAGAAATTGATTTCGTCATTTATGATGCTTGCCAAGGGGGCGAATGCAACAGAGTTGGAGGAGAAAATCAGGAAGCATTACGGTCAGCCAGAGTCAATGGATCCTCATGGTTCAGGACCTGGAGGAATTGGCGATATATTCCCGTACATCGACATGAAGGGGTGTGAATGTCTGAACGAGTCGGACGCTACCCCTTTCCGCTCATTTATTGAGAAGAAAAGCAAACTAGTTTCTGATTGTGACGAGCAACTGATTTTAGTTTACGGGTTCAACCAGAATGTTAAGGTAAATTCACCAGTCTCGTCAGCAGTCATGTTGTTCATTGTGCTTAATAATAACCTCTGAGGAGTTTTTAGTGACATGTTTATTGATTTTTTAGCTGCAGTCTTTGAAGATCAAAGCACCAGTTGAAACTGGCCCAAAAACTTTGAAATTGTTCACTAATCAACCGAAGACTTTGGATTTCGATTCCGCGTCCTCGATGACACCTGTTCAAGAAATTATGTACGCAAACATTATGTCTTGGCTTAAAGAATTCTTAATTTGATTTGAGTTTGTTCGCTTCTGTAGCTTGAAAGAAGAGGACCTCTCTGGTGAAAGTACTGTTGAATTGCGATTTGTGGTATTTATTTAAAGCTCATCATTATTGCTTGCAATTGGTATCATCATTGACATAAAACGATTATCGGTTAGTACAAACAGATATTTAGTCAATTAGTTAATTTAATCATAATATGAAGCATAGTTGATTAGAGAAAATCAAGGCTAATAAAGGGGAAATATCTTGGTAGCAAATAATGGATAAATGGACATACTAAGTGGTATCAACTATAGCTCATTTCTGTGTCATAATAATAAATTATACAGTACTGTTGTTATAATCGTTTTATACCAATGCTCCACTATTTATGTGATTAGTGTGATTGAGAACTAATTTTGAAAATGTTGTATTTCTACCCCTAGAAATTTCAAAATGTGAGCAACTTACAAATCTTTGTGATGGACAACTTATCAGGAGACGAGACAACTGAGATTGAATCACTTACAATTTATGGAACGCCAGTTTCGACAACCAATATGACCGACTTTAAACGTGTCGCTGGAAATAAAGGAGAGTCACACTAGAGTTTTTTCTCAAGTCAAAAACTGATTTTAAATGAAGCCTCTCGGAATAAAAATATGGTGTAACAAATAAAGAACCACCTTGCTTCCAAATTGCGTTTGATTGAATCTAACGAAGCTAAACTAAATAATTTTACTGTAAACTACTACAGCAATTCCTTTTTTCAATAATTCTTACTTTTTCGATATAAACTGTATTTTATGTACAGTCTGAAAAGTTGAAATAAAATTTAAATTGTCAAAAAGATGTACGATTTATTCTCAAAAGTGTCATGCCATGAAAGATTAAACATTAATTTTATTATGCTCTATCGTTGAATAACATACTTCAAAATTCTGTAATTAAGAACTGTGAATAGGTGCCTCATCGTTCCTATTGGAAAGAAATTCCAGAAATGACATTTGTTTGATCATTCTATAAATTCGTTCATGATGTTTTTCAGTGTACGGGAGGATTTGCATGGGTTGTATAAATCTTGCAAGATGTTCTTCAGGAAAACTACGAATGACGATATGAAGTAGCGTTTGAGCTTCTGTGGATGTTTTTGTATTAGTGTTCCATTTAGTCAAATAATTAATTAAATTCAATAACTGATCATCTTCAAGTTTTTCAATAACAGGGCGAAACTGATTAATATCCGCAACTTCTGCAATCAAAAAGGATATAAACAATCATTGTAAAAATAATTCTACAATATATGGTGCACGAAACATTTGAAAATTCATACCCCTGATAACTTTTAACAAAACAAACGGTCTGTCTAGTTGTAAAGCCATTTCAAATGCTCTTGTCCATTCTCGAGCGTGAAGCAAATTATTAAGTTTTTGCTCATCCTCAATCCCCTTCTTTTTCTTCTCGGCTGCCTGTGTCACTTTTTCTTCTGTATTATCATGCCACAAAGATAGGACAGAGTCTGCCGAACCAGTGACAACAGTATGTCCATCTTGAGATGCATCCATGGTCCAAATTTTGTCATTGCCACATTCTTCAGTGAGTACACAGGAGGACGTTTTCAGGTCCCAAGATTTCAAACTTCCATCACTACTTACAGACAATATTTGAAGCCCTGCGTAAGATAAAGTTCATATAACCTAGATGCACATATTAATAACACGTAGATTGCATTTCAAATTTGTGATAGAATATTATTTTACCCAAGTTAATAAATTTGACTTGCAAGACGGAACTCAGATGGCCTTGTAATGTCTGAAACAAGATAGGTTTTAAATTTCATTCCAAATAACATACCTTAATTAATTTTAGGGATTTATTGACCTCGCTGATGAGTCAAGTCATAAAGTTAATTATACCTGCATGCACTCATATGTGGTAAGACTCCATATTTTAATTGTTGTATCAGCAGACGCCGTTACTACTAACTGATCCCAAGATGAAAACTTTGCGTCCCAAACACCTTTTTTGTGTCCTTTGAAGGTGGCAATTAGTTGAAGGGATTCAGCATCCCATATTTTTGCAGTTTTATCACGAGATGCAGTAGCGACCTTTGCAGAGAAAAAATTGTAACTTTTCACGTCTTTCCACCATTGAATGATGATAAATAATGTAAATAAAACATAACCAACCAGCGATCCATTGGGACTGCAGTGCACGGAATTGATTTCTTTGTCATGTGCTACCACACCTCGCAGTAGCCTCTGCTGATCCCAAACTTTAAGGAAACGGTCTTCAGATACTGAAAAAGCTGTTAGGTCGATTGAACTAAAACACACAGCCGTGACAGACGCCAAATGTCCACTTAAGATTGCTTGTGGCTCTAAGGAGGTAGACTTCCAAAATATAATTTGGTTATCCTGTGTTAACGTGAAACCAAAAGGTATTAAACTCAATACGTCATGCAAATTTTGGTAACCTCTAAAATGTTTTAAAATTTTACCTTAGAGGAAGAAACCATCCATTCCTTTTGACAACTCAAAGATAGAACAATGTCCTTGTGGCCACGTAAAAATTTGCAACTCCCAGTCGTCAGATCGTACACTTTTATAACGCTTGTATTGGTGGCTACTGCAACTTGACCATCCGTCCATAAAACGGCACACAGTATCTCGTCCAGGTCTCCAACATACTGGTAAGAAATATTTGATTCTCCATCATTCCTTACGCTGACTGAGTAGTTAAAGCGTTCATAATAAATATTTGCATAATTTCCTGTACCTGGTGAATAATCTCTAAAGTCGCCTTCTTTTTATCTTCTAGCTTCGTTTTGATGACCTCGTATATTGTTCCCGTATGGGAAGTAATGAAACAGCTATTTACTTTTAAAGCTTCAGAATGTAGTAAGGAATGGAATCCCGTGATGGTTTCATTTTCATTTAATGTCAGCACTGGCTGCTTAGAAACTCTCTGATCCTTCACATCAAAGTGATAAATACTAGAAGGGTTGATACCAAGAAAGAGATCGGTGGATTGCGACAAGTAAATTCCTTCAATAGTGTTTGAAAATGGAATTGTCTTGAGTTTGTTAAAGTTATTTGCCATGTCCCATATTATGAGGACTTTATCACGACCTCCACTGCAAGGTCAAAACATAAAATGTAAAACGTACCAATACAACTTTAATAATAGAGATTATAGATTGTATTATTTATCTACTCACCTCAACATTAAATTGTCTGTTGTGAACTCAATTCCAGTCACTTGGGAGTAGTGCCCTTCTAAAGTTTTCAAGACACCAAATTGTTTTGTCTCTGGCTGAATTCCCATTACGTAGATATTTCTCTCTGCTGTGTACAAGGTAGTGTTCTCCCATCTAGCATATCCAAGTGCTGTGATATTTTCCACCCTGATTAATTTAGACATTTGATTTCCTCCAAGCTGCCAAAGTTTCACAGCAGCGCCAGATATCGATATCCAACATAACTGAATTCGTGCCCCCTCTATGGCGTCAAGCTCGTTCGATGACAAAACACCCTTAATGTTCTTGAGGGACTGTGCTTTGCAAATTTCAATGTATCCAATTGGCATGTTATGAAGGGATTTGATGGTTTTCAACAACTGTCCAGAAATTAGACACCATATACGAAGGAGATTTGATTTATGTGCAGTAATAACCACTTTTGACACTAGACATGTGTCGAACGATAAAATATCATCCAGCTCTGCTTCAATTGTCTTTGTAATCACAAACGATGTTTTGAAATTACTCTTAAAATCTTCGTCGTCACCTTGCTCCGTCTTTATTCCAACATTGCCTTTACGAATGACTTTCACAACAGGTCCATGTTGACAAACAAACTCGTCGTCATCAGTTATCTGTGTGAGAAATATTAGACAAAATAAAACTAAAAGAAGCACATGGTTTTTGCTTTATATTTCCCTTACAGAAATTTTTCCCCCAGAATAAAATGGTTTCAGTTGGGTCCGAACTTCATAGCTATTGTAAATGAATACAAAATACCACTAATTAATTATTACGAGCGATTGCTGAATTTTTCGATTTTATAAGTAAATGCAAAATGACAAATTCACCACTGCTTTAATTTTGGGTTGATACGTTCTTCTTCACCAAAATGTTTGGGCACGTGTCGTGTTTCATCGTCAACTGCATCGTTCGACTTTATGTTCTGCTCCTTGCCCAATGCTTCCGCTATGTAAGCTGGATTCAACATTATACTGCGGATAAATAAAGATAAAATGAATTTTAATAGCAACTCTAGAATCCAGACACCAGAGGATTGAAACTTACACAAAGATTCCAGTTCAGTAAGCAATCACTTCACACCTTATCCCAACTATTGAACTATGATGAAACTTGTCAAATTCTTTAAAAAATTCTTAACAAAATACGAAAAAACAAAGAATAGTTTATTGCCACACGTCATAGAGATTATCAACACGCCACACGTGCAATACTTTTTGTTGCCTGGTTGGCGGGTTAGGAATGGGGCATAACGAGATTGAGAGTCGACTGGAAGCCACCTATCCACAGTAACTCTCACCATCAACCACGTTTCGTTGGACTTGCACATTTCATCTCATATTCTCAAATAGTCTTTCAAGGGAAGGGATCCACCGGATTCACTGAAAAATTAAACTGGTTGGTCACACGGCAAGAATATGCAGATTTTCGTCAAGACCCTCACGGGCAAGACCATCACCCTTGAGGTCGAACCCAGTGATACAATTGAAAATGTCAAGGCAAAAATCCAGGACAAAGAAGGTACGTTTGTTTGACATTTTTTGTAACTTTTGTTTTCGCAAGTTGCGAATTGCAGCCTTGTTCTCGCAATCTTCGTTCAGATTATTTCCCACTTACTGTCTTACGTATTAATTATGCAATGTTGATTGAGAGTAAATGGGTGGGTTTTATTTTCGTTGTCTGAAAGCTAAAATTTTTTGGTGTCATTTGCAGGGATTCCTCCAGACCAGCAGCGACTGATCTTTGCCGGTAAACAATTGGAAGATGGTAGGACACTTTCTGATTACAACATTCAAAAGGGTGAGTGCAATGCTTTGAGAGAAATATATAGCAGTAAAACGTGTACATCTACATTTGACTTAAATTACGCATATTTTTGCTGGGTTACAGAGTCGACTCTTCACCTTGTCCTTCGTCTTCGAGGAGGTGTCATTGAGCCCACCTTGCGCATCTTGGCCCAAAAATACAACTGTGACAAGATGATCTGTCGAAAGTGTTATGCTCGTCTCCACCAGAGAGCGACGAACTGTCGCAAGAAGAAGTGTGGTCACACCAATAACATCCGCCCAAAGAAGAAGCTGAAGTAAGCTGCAAGGTTGACAGGAAACGGGTTGTTCAGTCAGCATTTCACCACCATGGCTGAATTCCATTTTCAATTAATACATCAATTTCTTGGATTTGTTGTTTGAGAGAATTCTTTAATAAATTCGATACCGTTATAAATCAAGCCATTTCACAGTGGCTATGAACTTACATAATAACCGAAAAACTTATTTTAATTGTCAACTTATCTTAATATTTTAATTCTCATAATTTTAAAATTGTGCGCATGAATTTATTCGAACGGAACGGAAGCAGTGCTTTACCGGATCTGAATTTTCGGATACATGTAACGTTACATCGTTTAAGCTCATCATGCCCCATGCAGAAATTATTCTAAGTTTGATATTCACCTGAAAATCTGCTGTTCGTTTCTTGCACGTGCGATTAATTTTTGACAATTTGTCAGTGACAAATAGGAGAGCTATTCTCGCACATGGCACAAGAATGGGTTTCTAAGATTTTCTCATAGGATTTGACTAGTTTATATTATTAGGTTGCTTTGCATGGACTTTAACAAATGATGAACCTATTTTTCATAATGTTAAAATTGTTCCACGATATTGAGAGTAAATTGGCATACAAGATTCTTCGGGTGGTTCGTGGAACATTAGGTTACGCCGTTGATGCAACTTTGGACGACATTTCAATTCTTCATGATTCTCCGCATTTCGTCGTCATCAATAAACATCGGGATGTTCTCATTAATCATAGCGACAAAGACGTTCCAGGTACATACATGACATGATGATCATGATTCATAGATTCATGAATGTTGATAATAAATTTGACATTTTATCATATGTGATACATTTGGTTATATTACAGTTCGGTTTTTACTTAATTTTATATAGTGACTGTAGAAAAACAACTGGAACGCCTTTATCCAGATCTTGTCAACCCAAATTTGGCCATGAGTTTCTTTTTCTGTCACCGACTAGATTATTCGACGAGTGGGATTCTATGCATCGCCAAATACAAGAAGGCTTGCGCTGTTGCAGTTGAATCATTTGCGCATAGAAAAACATCAAAGTTTGCAACGTTTTCCTTGTTTCATACATTTCATTAATTAGTGATTAATGCAACTAATGCAAGCGCAGTAACTAATAAAGGTCAATATATTTTTTTGCATAGGTATTATCTGGCCATTGTCCGAGGTCACATTTCTAAAGATTTGATCACAGTGAATGAAGGTATCGGAGATGACATACGACAAAGCTTTCAAAACATTCGGATGGCCCTGGCATCCTCTGACTTCTGCACTGCCAAATGGCGTAATGCTACGACCCATATTGCCGTCTTGGAGCGAGGGTATTGCTACAATTATCCTGCCACCAAAATACTCATGAAACCCATCACCGGAAGACGACACCAACTTCGACTCCATTGTAGTCATTTAGGACACACGATTGTAGGTGACTACACGTATAGCAATAAAAGAGACCTCAGTCCTTATCGAATGTTCCTCCATGCGTACCAACTACTTCTTCCTAACAAAATTGAACCCTTAGACATTGTAACTGCCGACCCATTCACCCCTTGCGACTCTCGGAACATGTGGATTCCTCACGAGTTTGTGAAAAGTATCAGTGACGCCATGACATGTCTTAAGAATCAAGTTTAAATCAGAGTAGTAGCAATTTGGCATAAACACTGTGATATACGAGATACGACGTGATGATAATGCATAAATTAATGCACCAGTTTCATGTAAATGCCGTATCGTTATTTCCGGCTTTTATTTAAAATACAAATCACAATAATCGAATCAACTGGCCTACAATTAAGCAAAAACTCTGTTGGATGTGATGAACAAATTTGACGTTTAAAACAATACGTTATTCCTTTTCGAATAAACAAACATACATACTGAAAATCACGCTACCTAGTACTTAAGCATGTGTGTATCGTCGCAGTAAAGGATATAAAAAGATCATATCCCTGCGTTGATATTTATAAAATTGGTCAGGTATGTAGACGGTCAGCAGTGTTGTTTTGCTTCAATTATTAATGAAATATTATTAAACATAATAAGTCTGGTTAAAATATTAAATAAAGTTTTAGGTCATTATTATATATATATCGATAAGTTGATACTACAAGGATCGAAATGTAGACATTATTGAGTACGACAAACGAAGAGCTCGTGTAGACTATTATATTTAATATATAGATGTACGATATATATACGGTTCAGCTTTGCACATCGTGTGCCAACAAAAAAAATGATTATAATAATATACATTTATGTACGATACAATTTCAACAAAATACGTTAGTGTTGTTTGATTTTTGCGCCTCACGCGTGAAATTAAATGAATTTAATACTTTTTAACGCGTTTCGATTTCTGTTTCTTTTCTCGGGTGTAAGGGGATCGTCTGGATGAGGAAGCAGATGGCATGGAAGCTGTGGATTTTGGAGTCTCGGTGCTCCGTCCAACATCTTCATCATCGCTCGGAGGAAGTTCTTCAATTGTTACCGAGGGAGTCGACTCTGAGGGCCGAGTTGGGTAACCAATTTGCAAATGTCGTCCTCCTGCCCTGTTATTATGGTGTCGCGAAGTATGTTCAGCTCCAACGATGGCTGGCATGGATGAAGAATGAGAATATCTGCCTCCATATGCTCGATTTTTCCATTCTCGGTCAAAATCTTCTGCCTCTTCTAAACGTGCAAGAATGCGTCGAAATTAGTAATGATTAATTAAACAATAATTCAATTGTAAACTTCACGTCAAATCCAATGTTACCTTCTTCAAGGTTGATAAACTCTTCATTTTCTTCCCTGCGACCAGTGAACATATTTTCTTCCCGTTCACGAACATGTGCACGTTCTCCTACATGTCGTCCGACAGCCAATTTCTTGGTTCCAGTTCTAGTATCCGACACTGCTTTTCGCGTTTCTTTGACCCCACCAGGTCCACTTGCTGTTTGTTTGCTTGCTTGATACACTTGAGGTCCGTTAGGACCATTAGAAATTGATGTGACCGACATGGATGAGAATGAGTGCCCATTATTCCCGTCATGAATTAACTGGTTCTAGAATATTTAAATTCAATTAAGGTGCATAGTGAAGAAGAATTATATCAGGGGAACCAAAGTAATATATCATTGTTGATCACTTACGAAATCGGGAAATCCTCCACCCATTCCCAAATGTCCAAAGGGGGACATGATTCCTCCACCAACAAAGGGCATCATTTCGTGAGGATGATGAGGGCTCCGGGAATGATTACCTGGGTGGCCTTGAGGAATGCCCATATGGGGACCAAATCCAAAGGGAGATTCTAACATTCCCATTCCCCCCATCGGTCCACCCATTCCAGGCGGTGCCATACCCATTCCAAGTCCTCCTCCCATCATGGAGTTCATCATTCTGTTCATTTGGTTCATCGCTCTGGAGTGTGCCCTGATCAGGGGAACACATTTAGTGTTTTGTTTGGCATTTATTATGGTATCATGGAGTAACCTTTCTATTTACTCACCCAAAAACTGGGTCACGTTCCAAATCCCGCATAAGTGACCCAAACAGCGACATGTTGGTGTGTACGATGAAGGTATGTTAGTTAATTTGATGTAAAGCGTCCGTTGTCCTTCGATATACCTTGATTGTTTGATTTCTTGTTTCTGGAGAACAAAATTCACAGATTAATCAAGCATTGTAACATTCATTAATCAATGTGAAGTTTATGCCGTCATTAACAAATTCTCATGAACGAATTACGAAAAGCTTTTCTTCTAATAACAAATTAAATTATAATATTTAGAGAACTACACAGCTTATGTCTTAGCTATAACTAAACATACTAATAAGTTTGGAAAATTCCTGAAATCATTTTATAAAATTATTTTTATAATATTCCCCAATGGGGAATCCCCATGGGCTGGTGGTTTCTCAAAAATATTAGAACAAATTGCTACTCAAGTAAATAATACCAATTGTGTTCTACTACGACATACATTTTATACTCCCTATCGTCTTCAACGATTTGTCTCAACTGTATTCAAAGAAAAACGTGTTACGACGACGAGAAAAAACCTGCTAATGCCCAAATATCTATTTGCTACTAACCAGTACAAATTATACGTTGCCAATTTTAGTGATTTTTTGTTCAAAGGCATACCGATTATGGAAATGATGACACCATACAATTCACAATCTGCCCAATAAGATGCCTACCAACTGGAGAATAGAAAACAACTTCTACTACGAATAATTGCATAATAATAATAAACTTATTACCCTCGATCGTTTGTGTCCATATAATAGTTTAGTTCTATATAATATCCACCACCACCTCCTCGTTCACAAACAACTTACTTATAAACAGACAGATTGCTACAACGTTGATGAGTACACTTTTGTAATACTTTCTATCTCCAATTCTCGATCTCTTATTGCAATACTTTCTAATCTATACACAGAACTATACGTATATCCTAGTTGTACAGTTGCAGAAAGGTGAACCCGTAGATTTCGTCGTGCTTTGTAAAATGAAAGTGGAGAAAAGTCGCCGTATGTGAAAGTCGGTTAATTTTGAGGGGGTGAATTAAAGTTATCAGAGGAGCAATTAAAAAAAACAGTCAAAATGTGTTGCTTCTGATGTGGAAGACCTCTTTGTTGGGCAATTGACTGAGAATTGAGCGGAAGGAGAAAGAACTTGTACCAGAAACTGCTCGAAGCTTTGACTTTGAGACTTCTCTCTTCGCCCCACCCCACCGACTTTCACCATGCTTTCACCATTCCACTAGAAGTATTTCCCGATTGCAGAGACTAAAAGTTATGAAAGGAGAAAGTTTACTTGTTCATTGACAAATCAAACAAAAACTTACTTTCATAAAACAATAAAAATTTTCGATTTAATTAACACAGTTCCTTACAAAAAATATTGCATGACATGTATATCATATTGTAGACTTGCATTAAGTATTTAGATTGTTCTGTTAGGTTTCTGACTATAGAAATCTCTGTATGCATTTGAAACTGTGTCATACTTGAGTTGAGATCTAAAATATTCGAATTCGGATATCGAGACATGCCATCACTAATATTATTTAACCCTTTAAACTGTAACGAAGACAATAGTCGTTTTATAAGAAATGGTTTAATTCGGGAGTACGACAAAAGTCGTCCTGAAAAATCGTGGTCATGGCGCGGAAGGAAGACAATTGTCGTTTCTAGGTCATTGATTTTCACCATTTTCTCTCTGCGACCTAAAATTTATTGAAATTTTGAGGGATTTCTCCTATGCCAACACAATGCTAAATTTGAAGATTTTCTTCCCGAAAATTTGGATATTTCCCTATACAACGCAATGTTAAATTTTCGATTTTTCAGTTTTTCGAGTTTTATTAAAAACTTCAGAATTTCTCCTCCCGCGCCATGACCACAAAATACTTATAGTGTCCCCGATTTAATGCATTTTCTTGTCGTTAATCATACACGTTAAAGGGTTAACCCTTTAACGTGTATGATTATAATAATAATACTTCTTAATAAGCGCTTGTAGTTCATCATCACATACTTGTAAATATCGATAGCAGATAGATAGCATTGATTATTAATAGTAATACAAACTGATAACAGCCAAACTAAAACATTCTCAAACAAATTTAAAGGAAGTACAACTAATTTTTGTAAACTCCAAAACATGGTATAATCCCGCTTAAAATCTTGATAATGTTTTGATGTATGCATGTAGTGACTACAAGCATAAGTCATGGGAGTTTCTTCGCAATATCTAAAGGACGCATGCAAATGCTAATTGTTTATACCTAATACAAAGTTGTCAAGCTAAAATTATTTGCATTCAACATAATTTCTGAAGGGATACAAGGTTGTAATTACACGTTCAAACGTAAGTATCAAAGTAAGTATAAAAAAAATTAAGTGTTAATGCAGTATTAGCTCAAGATAACTGGCAAGATGGTGCATTTGTTGAGGAAAGTTTAATCCAAAGTTTTTCAACTTCATCTATGTAATCAACAAATACATTAGTTGAGTTTGGTTTGAATATCTAGCATAATGTTTAATAGATAGAAATTAGACCTGCAGCAAATGCCATGCGTTCAGTTTGTAAAATGTCAATCAGGCTGCCAAATGTAGCTTTCTGATTTCCACACTCGTCCACCCAGTGTTGTAGCACATCATAAATGGCATTTGACGTCCTAAAACGATTATTTTCTTCAATGTCCTGAATTGTGGTGTGGTGAAGTCTCATGGAATTCGCCACAGTTCTCCAGTTTCGGCAAACAGTTGGACTTTTTTCTAGGGTTCTTCGAACTTCCGGGATAAAGTCAGCAACTTCAAATTTATAGATTAGCTTAAAATATATTTGTGCGATTAGTTTTACATATAAATATGCATGTCTTACTAGATACATCACAGATTTGTATTTTTTCAAGAATTTCATAGGGCTTCTCACTCTTGACTTCAACATCAACGTCCAACTCATCTGCCAACCATGGAGAGCTGGTCTTCAAGGCAGCAACAAAATGTTTGAAACTGTGTTCTCCCCTGTGTAAATTAGAATAAATTAAAGAATTCATCCTTCTCAATGTAAGAACCCTTTAGTTGAACGACATGTTTGGGATTATTAATTGTAAACTCACCTTGTCTGTAAAATACCCAAGAGTTTGCCCATTTGTTCCTGTTCAGTTTTGGCACTCTTTATTTCAGCGTCCATTCGCAAGTCCAAAACAAACTTGGAAATCAAATATGCAGAAACTTGGTAGTATTTGACATCATTCACCAACTTTACGTAGTTTTTCTGCAATTTCTTGCGATCGGTATGGTTCATTGTGCTGTTCATTTACCTGAGATTATTGTAATGCAAAACAATTAACTCGAGGGGCAATAGGAAGATATCATTTTACAAATTACAAAATGCACCAGACCCCACCATTCTGTCATTATTCTGTTTCAAGTAGTATTAAAAACCTGTCATTCTTTTAAGCCATCACATTGTTGTTTTCATACTAATTTTTATACCCATCTAGGACTTCGTCGCCAAATATAAATAATCTTTGACCTGGTACATTAGGCGCTAAACAGGTTTGCAAACCATGTCTAAAAAATTTAACAGCAGTACGTAAACAAACATTTCCTGTAACATAGCTTTCTCTCGTGATTCGTGTAGCAAAACAAAAGAAAACAAAAACAAAGGAAATATAAAGCAAGCCAGAACAAACTTACTGGATGTCCACAAGTGTCCATTTACTGACCACGGACGGCTGAGTGAAGGCTGGACGGGACTGTTTTGAAAATCTTTCCGAATCAACTGAACAATTTCAAAACAAGGAATCGAAGAGGAAATAAAACTCGTGTAGTCGTGTGTCTGTCTGCTGTCTGACTGGGTAGTGGAGCCTTTGTCAGATCGTACTACGCGTTGCCGCTTCTTGCCGGTGTGGTGGGGGATGAAGTGATGCTATTTCCTTCATGGAACATGTCTTGAGCGAGTTTGTTTTAGTTATGTATGATTTCTTCCGCTTCTTCTATTGCAATTTTCTTATCATTTGATTCATCTGCTTGTTTGACTAAGACTAAGATCGTATAAAATTGTATCATTTACACATACCTCTCTTGAAGTGAGTATATCATTTTATTTAAGTGTCCTACCGACATATGACACATGACACTCGAAAAACGATGGATGGACATACAATAACATTTATTAATAATAAATAACATTTCACACATCACAATGACTTCATTTACGCAAGTTTATAAAACAGCAACCTTTTCAAATAAGAATCAATTAATTGTATACCAAAGAAAAGTGAAAGGTTGTGGAAGAATACCAAGTATGAAGCTACAACGGTAATAATGATTACTGCGTACTGTTGCATGAACTAAAATTTATATTCCACTGTTGTTTCCTTATTGTAAAGCATTCATCATTAAAAAATTGACCACACAAAACAAATTGCTGATTGGGTTGAGACTATCAATTATCTTGCTCCTTCTTCAGGTGTTGAGGCACCAGATAAGAGGACCATGATTGCGATTGGAACTATGTACATCCACTAAAATAAAACAAAAGAAGTTTAAATTTACAAATTATTATTAAAGAGTAATGCAATAATAGAAGTTGACAAAGAAGTGTAGGTGTACGACAGACTCAGACCATGCACAAATGGGGGAACTACTTCATAATAACGAGTTCTTAATATATCAGTTAATTTACACAAGCTACACTCATTTCACCGATATTATAAAATACGAATAAAGTGCGGAAGATTAGCCAATGTAATATGCTAATGCCTAGCACTTTTGGACAATAATAATGAGGCAGAAAAGAGGGATTGCCTTACATATTTGGCCAAAAATGATCTATTATCTCGTGGATCCTCCCCTCGTTCCTTCGCCATTCGTTCATGCTCCAGCTTCTCCAAATAGGGAGCAGTGTCAGGTCTATTTTGATATAACATGTAATTATTTAAAACGTATTATCGTTCAGTTTTGTTGAAATAGGAATGATATACATACTGCGGTCCGAGTTCTCCGTGGTGGACAAACACTGTTGTATTAAACTGATGTGGTACACGTTTCATGGTCCCCGACGTAAAGCCATTCTTTGCCAAAGCATAACTTATCGCTACAATTTCCCCGCTTGGGTTAACATGTATCCTTAAAATGTCTGATAAACCTGACTGCATCAAAGATTGCTAAACAAATTAAATGAATTAGTGGTGTATCACTATTCTATTCAGAGATATTCTTATAATTTGAGATATTTTCTTACAGCGTGTGCAAAACTTTGAAAGATTTTGTCACCCGAAGTAGTTTTCACCAAGGCTTTAAGGAAATAGTAGCCGTTGGATGCTGCAAGTTTCTAATAAACGAATGCTCATATTTTACTGTTCATACATTGTCTAATTTATTTCAATGGCTCCATCATATCACTGACTCTTTGTTACCTGGATTTGGAGGAAATCACTGTCTGCTATGTCTTTCTGACTTGTGGTGAATCTTGGTCCCTTAAAACTTCGAATGACAACGGATCCCCTAGGCGTGTATCCAGCATCGCTGGGTTCATCCGGACCAAAGTAGTGGGATAACTGTACCGTTATCTCAGGGTTGTCGAAAAAATCGCTTTCCATCTTATCCGACTGTTAAAAATACACACACAGACAACAGGATATTACGTTGTATTCCTCGTATTTTTATAGTATACGGACTTACAACTCCTCCCAAAATGAGGGTCCAGGCGCTCATAAGCAACACTAGCACTTCCAAAATTCTCGTCGTCATCGTGGTGTTCGGGAAGATCTATATATGTTTCGCGACTTTATACTTGGATTTCTGTAAACGATACAAGAGTATCTAGGGATTCCAATCCCGGACGATTTTTTAAATCCCGGGAATCGGGAATCCCGGTTTTAGCCGTACAAAATCCCGGGAAATCCCGGGATTTTTTCCCAGAATTCAAAAATTACCTCATAACTTGAAATAAGTTAAATTTGGGTATACGAAAAAGTACAGACTATAAGCATATTTATAATACTTATGCACATGCATACTTGTGTTTTTTAGAGATCTGTGCATCCATAAGTATTATTATAACATATGGAATTTTCTGGCCTTCTCGAAATAAATATGATGGCAGTACAAATTAGCGATTATATAGTGGTGTGTCTGCTTGTAAATGTAAAAGTTCGGTGCAATGTGATAGTCTAATTTTCCGCCCTTTGTCTTGGGGAGGTGATAAGAAAAATTTTGAAAATTTCATTCCAGAAAACTTAAATAACTAATCAACGATTTGCTAGCATTTTAACCTGACCTGAAATGCATACATAAATTTACGTTTATTATTTGTGTACTATTATAAAAAACTACAATTGGACAATTCACAAATTTCAAGTTCAAATATATGTATGTATGAGCAACCTCGTTCATTCAGCCTTCGACTAAAATTCGAAATTATATATTTCTAACATGTTAGCTTTTTTGAGCATAACTGATTTCAGATTCTATAATTATACCGAGGGTTAGGTTTATTTCTTCCTTCAAATTTAAATCGGACATCCAAATTAGAAAATTTTGAGTTTCATTTTGTATTGCAAATTTACTTGCGAACTATAAGATTAAGATATATGTACGACATATGAAGAAATTTGGATTCCCATGATGCTTTAATCTTGGAGTTGATAATGAATTTTGACAGGTTATGCTCATCGAAACTTTTTCTTAGCACTAATATAACGAAAAATTATGTAAAACCGCTACTAAAAGCAAAATATAAGGAATTTTCAATCCTGAATGAAAAATTGAAAAATCCCGAAATCCCGGGATTTCAATTCTTAAAATCCCGGGAATTAAATCCCGAAAAATCCCGGGACTGGAACCCCTAAGAGTATCGCTTATTAAATATTTTAAACTCGGTCCGAGATTAAATAGTTGGATGACTGGACTTTTGTAAAGTTAATCGAGACGAGTTGATTCAAATTGGACTGAACGAGATCCATCCGCCAGCCGAGCTTGATGAACTGGGGTGAGTAGTCTCGCTCGCACTTTCACTTTGCCTGCTCTTTGCCCACAGTCGCAGTCTCAACTTTCTCCACTTCGTTGCCGTACAAAGCACTAACAGCTCGATATTTCTGCTGCTTGTCACGGTGTAATATGATCCCAGTTTGCTGTTTAAATTTCACCAATGTTTGGTTCAGCTAATTCAGCATTTTCCTACCTAGAAAGATAAGTTTTGCCTAAGGCAGAGGGAGATTCTTATTAATTCTTATTGATTATCGGTCGTCAGTTTATTACTCGACTTGCTACAAATAATTAATGCATGGTTTAAGCATGCATTAATAATTATAAAATAAAATCATGATGCTTTCATTTTAAAAGAAAGGTTAGAACATGTTTAGGTAAAATTTTATAGTAGATAGATTCAGATTTATTCGCTTACTTCTCATGATCGCTATCTTCATCAACCTTGTTCGTTCTTTTGGCAAGGACATGTTTTTTATCATATTGTTCCAGTAATGGAGGAGACAAAGTCAACAAGAGTAATTACACATTTACTCAGTGTCGTCTTTCTTTTGTAACACCTCTCTTCACTTTCTCCTCCTTCCTTTCATTATCCCTCGAGAGTAAAAATTGCACACTGAAATGCGTCTTATTGAGATTAATTAAAGTAAAAAAATTGCATATCCTAGGCAGTTGAATTCTATGTATCGTATCAATCTTACACACACATATTTATATTGCCAACTTGCACACAATTTGCATTAACGGAGAAAACCCCTTATCGTAACAGATAAGTAAATTCGACCGAAGCAGATAGAAACTTGGGAGAAAGTTGCAAGAATATTCCGTTGTGATGATGAGTCAAGTGGTTTGTTATTTTGGTTGAAAATTACTTAGACTGATTAATTTATTCATTCTGGACAAAATTCCAAATGGAACTTTGAAACCCATTTCCTGAATTTTCCGTAATAACAATAATGTTGAGTCAATGATTTCCTTATTTTTTTATATGCCTATGTAGTTTTCAGGGGTGGGCAAGATACTTTGGTCGTAAGATACAAGATACAAGATAAGATACATTCTAGGATAAGATATAAGATACAAGATAAAAGATACATCTTGCTCAAGTACACAAGATACAAGATACAAGATACTTTCCTAATAATTGAGTAGTCAAGATACAAGATATGTATCTTAAGATACTTTTATATTAGATAAGATACTTTATTTTTTTAGCCTGGTATTCATGCCCAATTAGTCATGTTTAATAATTTAAACGAAAAAATCTGGTTAGTAAAAAATTTAAAATCATTGTATAATCATACAATTTTGTTGCCAGTGCTTATACTCTTAAAAATGTCTAAGTTTCGAAAAACTAGACCTGTAACTAACATGCGAATATTTTTACGAAGTTTGTAATATATTCCCTGCTTATTCAAATCAAACTAAACCCTATAAACTTATATTTGTTAAGCGTAGTTATATACATATCATGTAATGTGCAATGCACATTGTGCATGTGTATGTGTACATATGTACACATTAACTTATATACATATATATATGTGTGTATATATATGTATACATGAGTATGTGAACATGCGTATGTATGTGCAGGTTTGTTACTAATTGGCAAAACATAAAATAAAAATTCACCAAACTCTGATTACGACAAATTCATGGTCAAATTGACTGACTGTAGTAGGAAATTGACTTAATTTGACGGAATTTTGAAAAAAAGTATCTTGTATCTTGTCAACTATCTTAAGATACTTTTCTGCCAGGCATATCTAGATAAGATACTTTCACAAGATACTTTCAACTTTCTAAAAGATACAAGATACAAGATACAAGATACTTCTCCGATCAGGCGACGAAGATACAAGATAAAGATACTATCTTGTATCTTTTATCTTGTATCTTGACCAAGTATCTTGCCCACCCCTGGTAGTTTTCAAAAATAAGGAATATTCCGTCCCCGTCGGTACACAGAGTCTGAAATCCCATGGAATGCTTTCTCCTGTAAAAATGAATCTCAGGTGACTTTTAGAACAGGACTTGGCTTTCACCAAACATAAAGCACCGTTGTTCGTCTCCATTTGAGTTGTGTGTTTCCATAAAGTTAGAATATAAGACTCTTTCATCGCAATTCAGAATTGATTATATGTCCCGAAGATTCATTCATAGACACAAAAGATTGGACTATCATATTTTATGCCAATATCTCCGTAGCATACATTGAATACGGCATCTTAACCAATTCAAAGGGTGCATTAAAAGGACATATACAGAGAAAATCATAATAAAGGCCATCAAAGTGCCCTTGTACTTTTATGCCGTATGAAAGGATAAAGCCATTGTCGATGGTCTGATTTTTGGCCCGAGCCAGGACTTGTGAAATCCTCATGTTCATCTATCTGAGATACGCTAGAACCACTGAACCGATTTTGGCCAACTTGGTTATTCTTAAAATTCGTAGTTCCACAGGATGAGTTCGAAAATGTGCATGATCGGTCGAGTCGTTGACCGGTGGGGGCCGAGATGGCATAAATAACATTAAAACATGAAAACGTATAACTCGGCATGAAGGTGATTATGAATACGCAGTCAAAATCAGTAGTACTTTTGCCAGAGGAGCCCACGTGGAAAGCTAGTTTTCGAGATTGGCTCGAAAAAGATGAAAGTTTCTATATATTAGAAAATTTATATACACTGACGAATCACAATTTCATGGGGTGGTCAGACATGGTGGTCATTTAACACAATGACGATACTATTTTCGTAAAATATTAATCAGGGAAAGGGTGACCCTCAGTGATTTTGAAATTAGGTAAGAGACGAGAAAATGACTGGCTCGGGCTATGTGATTTATGTGAAGGTCGCAAGGTAGGTTTTTTCATAGTCTGAAAAGAATAAAGTTGCATACACAAATGTACCTTGCCCATAGTTGCTCAATGCTCATAGGTAACAATAGTGTCTGGAACAATGATGTTGTGCAAAGATCTGCCTTTTCAATCTAGTTTCACTCCGTGTTGTGTCCAATATTAGATATCATTTTTCTACCCATTGTGCTATTGTTCACGGTCTATTCTCTCACCTATTTTATTTTGGTATATGGTGTGGGAAGTTACCACCGCCTTTTATTGGGTTTCTATTATTATGCATAACATTCAAAGTTCAGTTGTTTGTTCTGTTACGATTGCCTTTACTTACCACGATTTTCACTCAAAAAAATTGATTTTTAGAGGAGCACGGTATACTTCAAAGAATATGTACCAAATGCCCTTAAGCAGATATGCATATGTATACACTTACATAACGTACCTACTTACATACGAAAACCCTTAATTCATATGTATATGAACACAATTTTGAATTTTGCAGTCCAGTTAAACACTTTCTCTCTTCCTAAAAGATTTATTAAGTCTTTGTCCACATGTTAAGGATTTTTTTCTTCACGGAAAACAAAATATTAATAAAACCTTTCAATTTTGTAACATGTTGTGTATAATGTAGTCTAAGGTTGCTAAAAATATCGCCGCTTCGGATGAGAAAATTTACATTAATATTCGGAAGAATGTGAGTGACAGCGTTGGATTGAATTATTTTAAAGAGAATGGAAATAGACTGCGTATAGTGCATGCATGCATGTTATTAGTTCCCGGAGGATTGACAACCATTCTGCGTAGTAGCATAATAAATGGCGTGGAAAATCCGTCTAAAATACTTTACCTTTGTCAAATCAAGAGTATTACAGGTTTGAATAAATTATGCATGACTTCACCAATCCAGTCAGAGTGTGAGTGACAGTGTACTTTCTTCACTGCATACGATTACCTGTTGGTTCCACTCATGGTTGTCGATGTCGATTATTATTCTTCCTCCCAGCATATTTTATATACTTGTTGATAGTTCTAGCCAAGGATGTATATTAATATTAGAAGAGGAGAAATAAAAATCGCCCTTGTATTTTGTACCACTGTATTTTAAAAAATACACTATTCAAACCTCTTTCAGGAAAGAACTACAGTTTAGCGTGTAGGGATTCAACATTTACTAAATATTTATTTAATTCCACCTAAGAGTAGGTTTGAATGATTTTTTTGCGATATAATATGTCCCCACGGTGCAAATTATCTTCAGCATTTGCATGATCTGTTACTAGACCACTCCTCGATGACGACTTGTACATTTTGTCCTTCAAGTTAAATAGCGCTAGTTAAATAATTGATAAACCAGTAAATTAAGGTTTGCTCAATATTTCCCAATGTTCGTTATTTTTTGATGCTTTGAAAATTTTCCATTTTTACTCTCGTTAGTAAAAAAATACGTAATTGATATCTGCTGAATCTGCTGATGGCGATGTTTATTGCTCTGTTGTCACATGTGGAACGTGCCCTTTATGTTATCTCAAAGTGTCATCTAAAAAAATACATGCAAGACAAGCTAGAAGTTAAGACCAATATTTAGCTGTTCTCTCCAAACAGGATGTAAACTAAAATATAAGTAGAGCTCTGCCGGTAGAATGGGTTTAATAAAAGAGATTTATATTCATTTTATGAGACATTACCCGTTCACGTGAATGATGCGTTGAGACACGAAATCTTATGATTTTCTTACAAGAAGACTCCTTGGTCTCACTTATTTACTGATGCATGTCGCACGATTATGTATTTGCACTGATCAAGAGCAGCGTCGAACAGAACCAAAATAGTAAAATCCGGAGGATACAGCACATTCCTGGGCTGGAATGTACTTATCCTCATGCATAAATACTCATAATTCAAGATCTAAGAAATCCCATTTCCTATTCTCATACATAATCAGGCTCGCTGGCCACTCTTGGATTCACATCCTCAACTACCTATGCACATACATGGACACGAAAATATTGTATATTATTGTCCTGTACATTCGGCATATGAATGGTCATCTGAGAAAAGGAAACTAATCCTAAGTGACTGAAATGAGTGAGCGTTGGAATTTATGTGCATGAAGAAGCAACATCACCCGAAACTTTCCAATAAATTATGAGACTCAATTTGCAAAACTGTTAGCCGTCGTGTTATGTACGAATTATTAAATTCATGCACAATTTGTACTTGTATTCGTGGACCCAACACCACAATATGAAAATTTTGGTCTTGCGAAGAAGGAGTCAAATTCAATGGCGCATAATTAAGATCTCGGATTTCATGGTGACTGATAACCAAACTTCCACTGCGGCTTCCAGAGTTTTAGCAGACTATAAGCAGCATATTTACGATAAAGGCATATGCAGATTCTTTCCCTTTCATTTTGAATGAAATTACACTGCGCCGGGCTTAACAAACAACTCATTTTCTTAGTAATCACAAAATCACCTCGGTGTATTCTACTTGTAGCGACTAGCCATATATTTATTATATGTACACCATTATATGTGCATACATACTTATTTACATGCATCAGACAGAAATATTCCATCTAATCCGATTTGTTCTCGATTCAAGTTTTATTTACAAATATAATGCAAGCATCCGTAAATAATAAATTACAAGTCGTGCTCAATTACGCCCTTCTCCTCCTCCCAGTGACACACATTAACGTTTACTGATCTTAATAAGTATTTAATCATTTCGTTGGTGCTCAAAGTGAAATTTATGTTCAATTGAAATTTGAAAAGTGTCGTTATTACCTCAGAGTTTCGGAACACAAATTCTTGTAACTGGTATTGTGAGCGTGGGTGTATTAAGCCAAAATTGTGATTACTTCAATGGCTGAGGAAGGATTGCTTCATAAACTAACTGCATTCCTCAACTCATGCACCATTAAACCACAGTGGTCTCATTTTACATGGGATAAGGTAATTGGCTCTGAGGATGCGAAACGTGAACTGTATCGTAATATTGTGTTGCCTCACAAATTGCTCGAGCTTCCTCGATACTACGAGGAATGCAAGATTCCAACACCTGGGGACGTGATGCTGGAGGGGGAGCCTGGAACCGGAAAGACGAAAATGGCCTATACTGCTGCCTCCACTTGCAAGGTCGATTTTTTCTGCCAAGTCAACTGTGTGGAAATGTTTGCAAATTTTGGAATCGAATCTTCCCTCTTTATCCGTCTGTTGTTTCAAACTGCCAAAAAACATAAGCGAAGTGTTATCTATTTTCGCAACATGGACTGTTTCGAGTATGACTGCAATTGGATTATCTTGCCAGCAAAGTCAGAGTTGAAGTACCAAATGGAGTTTTGGCAAGAACGGTTCAGATTTGTGCAGGGAAGGTTGGAAAGTCTCTCTGTCATTGGAGCTGCACGAAATGTGAGGAATCTGGACCCTGTAATCTTAAATCGGTTTGGTAGTCGAATTGTAGTCAGTTTGCCGAACCCTAAGCACAGACTTCAAATGTTGCTCATGTTCATTGGACAGGCCCACACCTCGATGTATGACAAAGATTGGAAGATTCTGGTAGACCGTACGGATGGGTAAAATACACAATGATTTGAAAATTACATAAAACATTTCCATGAGTGATTAATCAATTCACCAGATTCACTGGTAGACAACTAAAGACTTTATGCCAAAATGTTGTAAAGACTGCCAAGGTATACACCCTTTCAGCAGAGTCTCAAGATACGGAGCAAATTTGCATCAGCTTGGTAAGCATATGTATTATAGCACTGCAATTTGATTTTGTGATACACATAAGCCAAGAATTGTACGAACTGCGGCGTGTCAGGAATTATGAAATATTTATTTTCACTGGTAATTTTCAGGATTCATTTTCACGATGGGTATCAATAAACCAATCAGTGCAACAACAAAAGGACTGCCAAACACTACGAAGTCTTGTGACAGGATAACACATATGACAACCTATTCCACTTATGCTTAACTCAAGACTGCAAATACATTATTATACATTCCACATATTTACGAAACTTGATGTAACGCAATTTATTTTACTTGACATGTTGTTGTACATACGTATGCATGTACGTACAACTTTGCGAACGGAAAATTTTATCAGCTCATCGCCATGTCCTCCTTTGATCTCAAACACATTATATATGAATCATGGATCAGAGAATGGGATTTTCTGCATATTTGCATTTCTGATCACTTCGTATATAGCACGACATATTTCAAGCCAGGTTCCCTTATCAGCTTTGGGAAAAATATTATGCAATCTAAAAGTGACTCTCACGACTGGGTGCAAGAAATATACCTCTCCGATGCTTGGCCTCCATGCTTAACATCCTCATGTGATGACCATACCCCGGAAAAATATTTTTTTATCCTACCCTACTCATGTTGAGCTCAACACGAGTAGGGTAGGATAAAAAAATATTTGTCCGGGGTATGGTGATGACACCATACATATATTTTTGTTGAAATAAACAGTTACATAAATCCATATCCTGTGTCCTCGGGCGGAGTGCCAATTCGTGAAAGTTGAGTTGGTGGTCAAGGGATAAATCAAGGGCCCAGTTTTGGAGAAAGTTTTCACGTTCTCCACTCCACCCGGTATCCATCGCTTTCTGCCCCGTCAATCACACACTCCTTGATCCAGAGCAAATCACCAGCTCACTTCCACCCAACCAGTCCTTGAAATAAATATCAATGTGAGAAAACTATGCTTTTGATTCATTTATTTCCAAGATGCTAAGTAAGATAGTGTCGTCATCATTCTGTAGCTCCTTGCTATTTATGATGGGGATCAGAAGCACGTGCGGTGATTTGGTTTCACATAGTGAACCAATTCTACGTCTCAATGTGGGCCCAACAAAACAACGATGAAGAACTTGGTGAAAGTTGCAGATGCGGTGCAGGAATAGCTTCTTTTTACGAACACTGACTTCAAATCTGTAATGATCATTTGCAAAATAATTTCTATACTTGATTACATAGTAATTTGCATAGTAAAATGATCAACCAAGTACCTGGTTCCAAGTTAAAATTTCATACAAAAATACATGCATACAGTTGTTCGGAATTCAATAGAAGAACAGATTAATAAACTAATATTTATAAATACGAAATGCATATGTACCCAGCTACGTAACAATTTTATTTAATTACAATTTCTTGTTTGTATGTGAAGTTGATATTATATAACGTATTACATGAGTATATTTTGTCTTTTTGTTTTCAATATAGATATACATTAACTGGGCTTACATATATGCACATATGTATCAAATATGGGAGTAAACTTTTCATTAAACCAACCAACATATACTTAGGTAAATATCGGAATTATAGGCATTTACCACTAATTACAACTTGAGGGATAGGTACTTAAAACTATGACATTCAAAAGAGTATGTATACATATATGTACTGTGTGTATTTGTCATAATCAGTATGTAACAATAGTCTCCTCAAGATACCAAGATTCGCATTATTCACACGGATGTGTGTATGCGAATTTTTCATCAGGAATCAGGATTAAAATATTATCCACAAATGGTGACACTAATTATCAAATCAAACCCACCCTCACAAAATGAACCCCATAAGCTACATACAGAAAAGCTAAAGTGAAAATACAGTTCGGCATTTGGAACGTGAGTGGCAAAAGTTTGGCCACATCCTAGTGAGAAGAAATGCTAAGTGAAATCACAATTTCCGTTCGTGAACGGGGATGAGGATGTATCAGTATGTACATTGCACGTAGGACAAATTCTACTCCTCAAGGAATTTCGTTACTTTGTGTTACACATTGCTGTCGTTTGCAGCCGTATGTTAACTGTCCTCCAAATCCACATCCGGCGTGATCACGATCTCCACCGTCGTGGTTATCTCTGACTCTATTTGGATCATGGGATTGTTGTGATTTTGTCTATGGTTCCGGCCTAGAACAAATAATTTTATTGCACTTCGAAGCGTGATATGTGTGTATAGAATAGTAATTACTACTACAGTCATGCCCCAAAAATATTCGTATAAAATTACACAATAAATTATATATTACTGAAAATTATCCTGTGACACCATATAAAATTTAAAGTAATTTCTTACCATGTGTGTTTGCCCAACTGATAGGTGGTGAATTTCTTACGACTGACGCGCAACTCCGCTCTGATAAGTAGGGGTCCTCACTAAACAAAAAATTCAATTTATGAACTGATCTGAACGCAATTACTAATATTTATGGACCGATGTATGTAATTTGAGTTCAGTTTCTTAATACTATGAAATATGAATCAATATGCACTTTCTCTTTCTTTTCATAAAAAATGTTTCATGGTCATCATTCTACTTATAACCACAAGCAATACGCCTCTGAAAACCCACAGACGACAGAGGAATTGTAAAATAGAGACGATAATAACTTATAAGTACATATTAATATATTTGTAGCACATAAATATATCTGACTAGAATTCATATACTACAAATAAAAGCTTGGTAAAGGTACTACATATTATTATGTATATCACTCATGGCATTGTGTGATTGAGATCAAATTGTACAATTCTCCAGGCTGAAATTAGTAATTAATTGAAACTATATTCTACGACTCAATAATTCAAAACATAAAAACCACCATTTTTGACAAGGTCCTTTTAGATATCTTTCTAGTAAGTAACGCTCGATAACGTGACAATGGAGCACTGTTTATTTTATATGTTCCAGTATACTGCTCGTTATATTAGTTCTACATATATATACGTATGTATTACAGTTGGTCACGGTCTGTTTGTGAAGAACAACAGGACAAGCGACATGTATTTCATGGAAATGACAAGCATTTGCCATTAAGTTTATGTGTGAACTGGGGAAAAAAGAATGACGCGAAAATAAAAGCGCACAATAATTAAAGGCATCTTGCACATCTTGTATGGCTTAATGTAATTGAACAATATTCTCCTTGGTCAAGATGAGAATCTGCTCATATAACAAAAATGTGGAACATAACAGTATGCCGCTCTATAATTCGGACACCACTACGCCGCAAAAAAATCTAGGTCGGACATTGCATCTTATCACAAAATAATTAGTTTAAAAACAGTTTTACTCAAATCGAACGAGATATTTATGGAGCTAGTTTCAAGTAGAACTTAACCCTAGCTTTAGCGTGCAAGGATCTGTACATAAATCCATCACATAGTCAAATTCCACTTAAGTTTCACTTTCTATTTTGCTGTTTTGCACTTTCTGCATATTATTCCTGTAGTCAATGGGAGGCCAAACTTGTGTCAAGAGAGATGTTATCCTGACACAGGTTTTATGACCCCACATCCCCGCATTGGGACAGGGACAGACTTTGTTCGTCATCTCAGAGTGAAAGTGAGATTGGTTTGCTGGTCGTCAATACATATGCGCATCTAACCAAACTTATGTACTACTTAGTTACGTACATGCACCAATTCATACCATGCCTCTGTATAATGTATCATTTAAAGGGAGACACAACAACTATCTCAATGGTATAGCTACATAATAGTATAACGTAATATTTATTCTCGTTAGTCTTTGTGCGCATGTATTAATATTTTTAACTCGGAAAACTTCCAATCCAACTTATTTAATTACTGATTAAATATACTTATCGGTTATTAGGATCAGTTTTCTTAACCAGCAAATTCAGATGAAATAACTTCCTCTTTCTTACATGAACTCAGATATTCCTCTTTTTAGCCTTGTTAGTGCAAATAGGCGGATGGACGAACATTATTGGCATTAGTTCCACAAGTAAGCTCACTAGAGACTAACTAGGCTGATGTATATGTGATATGTACGTTACGTATGTATATTAGTAAATCTCATCGTAGTTCTTCTTGCTTGCACTATTTGATTTGTTTGTTAAAGTGAAAGCAAATCTCATTCTGCAGATGAGCAGCAGACACAACCAGAAAGGATAGTACACACTCAGAGAATGGAAACAAAGGTGGCTTTCGGAGGATGAGATTTATTTATGGAAAGCCGAGTCCTTGCTTCATTTTCTGTTGTATTCCTTTATTTCCGACGATCCATATGCATGCATACAAACGTCCACCGTATATGGTGCACGAGCTGACATATAGCTGCCTGGATAGTTCTCCCGATGGATAAATGCTGAAAGTCATTTACCGGCTTAGTTTTAGAATTGGAACTTGGTTCCAAATTTCAGCCCCAACAAATCTCTTTCCTTTCCTATGCAAATTTGAAATGTCTTGTGATAGCGATAAGATGAGAGTCAAATTCAAGTTGTTCGCAGTCGGTTAGTTAGCTGCCTATCAAGTTTGAGGTTGAGCTTATCCCGACGGCTCTTTAAGCCTGGGATCATAGAAATTCTTAATTAAATGAGCAAAACTACCATGTAACGGGTTTGTCGAGTGCTGCACAGAGCGAGTACTGCTGCACAGTCCGATGATGAAGGAGAGCAAATGAACAAGGGCATTGAGTCTCTGAATATGATGCGGGATTTGGACGCCTTAAGATGCACAGACCTTATTACATGTGGTCGTTTTGAACAAATTTGAGAGATTCGAGTCAAATTGTGGAAGGATAATTGGACTAATTTGAAGGACTCGTTTCATTAATTCGGGCTAGAGCAAGGACTTTCTAGCGCTGCTTAGGATTAGCGGGTTTATAATCCACACAATCCAATGGGTTAATTCTAGGTTATACAATTGCAGAATGACAGAACATATGCGTAGATTGTGGCTGCAACGACACGATATTCCTGAACTGACTGAAATTGATGTGCTCACCAACTTCCCTACTACTTTTTAGCACTCACTGTATCATATGTATTCTGATAACAATATGCATACGTATAAATCCTAGGGACACTAGATGAGCTGAGTAAAACATATAGTGGTAAATATACAGATTAGAATGCTATTGATGATGTGTTATCTACTTGCTGAGGAGGAAACAAGGAGTAAGCGTTAACCATGTATTTATATGCTTTAAATTATCATTTGAAGTCTGACTCTGCAATTCAATGACTCTTGAAGCTGAGGCTAATTCGGTTTTCTGATAATTAGTCAAATTGTCAAAATCGGAAGAAGCTAAAGTAATTAAAACAATCTATCTTTGTCACTTTGAAAGTACGAGTTGGACGTGCGTTGGCTGAGCACTGAGAATTACCATTTCTCACCAGTCTGTCAGTGCACAGCGTACTTTTTCTTATATGCAGGGGGATAGTTGTTTCCTGCATTACATTTATTACGTTGAAAAACATTACATTTTTCTTCCTGCGATACAACATCTACCCACACAATAATTTTTTCTGAACCTTCCATATATTTGTATTAAAATAGCACAATTTGCAATCGGGGCAATCAAAGACAAGGTCAAAATTGGGCCACTCTCCTTTTTATACAAGTGTTTGTATGGTGTCCTGGAATTTTAGGGACACTGGAGAAGTAATTCTCTAGCTGAATTTAGACCCACCCCCAAAATGTGACTTTCTGAAGTTATTATGTACCTGCAATGGTACGATTTCCTAAAAATACATGAGAATCTCAGGACAGTTTAAAAATACTCAGTACAATACAATGTGGATAACAAAGGAGTCTGCACAGCTCTACAAACGAAGTGAATGCGACAAATACATACAGATACGTGTAAAAATAAATATAAATATGTGCACACAGCCTTGCTTTCCGATCCAATCAACATTTGATTCATTCAAATAATAGTGCTAAATTGCATAACTAAAAAAATCTCCACATGTGCAAATACAAACAAATACATGCAAAGCACATTCATAGCGCATATAGAAATAAAATGACCGTAATTGACAAGAGTTCTTTCTTTGCAACTATATTATACTACCAAATATTACTAGAGAGGTGTAAAATGCCTGGAATTTTTAAGCTGAATTTTAGCAAGAAACGATACGGAAAATTCAAAAATAGTAGATAAATCCAGCAATTCCTAGTGCTGAAGCTTAGTGCTGAACACATATATTCCATCTTCTTTAGAACACAACTTTCACCAACGGACCATCAAACACGTAAACTCTTGTTTGCTTTCTCCTAAATTTGCTCCACAATATCAACTAGGCCTGCTGCTGATTTAGAGTTACAACAAACCTGCAGTTCAGACTTGACAGTCATTTTTCTCGTCTCCTATTTCATTTCAAAACCCATTCTGACTTATCCGTTTCGAGACCCCGAGGCCAAAATTTTACAAAAAGCATCGTTATCATGCACTCATTTTCCCTTACATAATTTGAGCTTTTCTAACTAATTTTACAGCACAGTATGGATTAACCGTCAAAAATATTCTTGAATCCGAATTCATATTCTTTGATCTGACGTGCAACTGTACTCCAATGCCAAGTTTTTGGTTTGTAAAATTTATCAAATTTGGTCATACTTTCACGTAAATGATCCAGATCATGTCCATCTTCGAAATTTAGACCAAACTAATATTTAATTAAATATTCCAAAAAATAAGAGGACCCATATTTTTGCGTTCTTCCTAACGCACGCTTTTTTAGCCTTTGGCAGAATTTTCAAACAAACTCCACATTGAATGTATGTACATGTGTGCATGCATTCATCATTTTTTAAATTGCACATATAAGCATTCATGTAGATCAAACCCAACTGTTGTGCACTTTCCCTCTCGTGCCTTCAACTCAACCAGAAAGGTTTACAACCTGGTCTATGACATGCAGGTCGACTGAAAAATTAAAGGAACCCAGGTGCTTTCATTCCTTGTCCTCGCTGTGACTTGCAGAGGTTCATTCACGAGAATTTATTGAAGTCGGTTCGCGTTGTAAAATAAATAAAATAGGATCACACACAACCAGATTCATGTCAGCCAAAAAAATCCTGCGAAATGCAAGTGGTCTCGTCGTGGTTCAGATTAACTATCAGTGAAAGCAGAAACACGGACACCATGTTTCTCTTTCCAGACTCCAGGGGCTTATTTATTTGGTCGTCTCAATATTCTGCTAAATAATAAATACGGATTATGTGTATGAGAGAATATTTAGGATTTCGTTGGTGTAGGCCGGATAATAATAAAATAAGCAACCACTTTGACAATGCAAGCGCTACCATTACACGCACAACATAATATTTCCATTTCAGCAACTGAGCTCTAGAAATGTAAGTGACTCTGGAGAAAGGAGTGTGGGAAAGGTGGCCTTAGG